CACTGGGTTGGTGAAACCAATATTATTTTGTTATAGTTTAACCCCTGAAAGATAGGGAACCTGAAGTTAGTTAGTGCTCAGACGAGCTAGGTTTTTGTTTATCTGGATTTGTGTTCATTTATGTTTTCATTTACTGCTGTCTCTGTGGTGAAGCTCAACAATAAAGTACCTGGAATTAAGTTACTTTTAAAGACTGTGCATGTTTGTACCCTAGAGGACCGTGCTATCTGCAACCAAGGATCACACTAGGTACGTACGGTTATGTTTACGCTGCTTTTCATAAGACAAGCCCCAGCTAGAGATAGAGAACTGGCTGCAAGGGACAGGTGCTGCCACTACTACTTTTAAGTTTTAGTTCCCATGAGGCCTCACGCAGAGGTAACGCCCACACGGCCCCATGTTAGATTATTTGCCTCATATCCCCTTCTGCAGGGGTTGGTTAGAATGTCACATGTCACGGCCAATGTTTTTCCTTATACTGTCACCAAGAGGCCAACATCCCGCCACATCGTTCGGTGGCCACATTTCCCCACACCAAATCATAGGTAGAGCCTCTCTTCGCCACTTGGCAATTAGCAGGGATTCACCTATCACAGGTAGTTAAATTCTTCGCCACTGGCACCAGCTAGCAAGCCAGTTCTATATACGGTATTTCACCATTGGCTCTAAGTTTTGTATTTGCTAAGTCTCTTCATAGGATGTCAAAAGAATCACTCCATGAAGACAACTTGTCTCTCCAGGGCTCTCCCTCCAGGCCCAGTACACCCATTAGACCTATCGGATGCATTTTTCAGTGTTCCCCTGGATCCTGACAATCAGTATTTTTTTGCATTTACACATAAACAGAAGCAGTACACTTGGACAGTATTGCCACAGGGCGCACAAAACTCACCCACTATGTGCAGCATGGCTATGGCCCAGATTCTTGAAGATATGTTGCAAAGTTATGGAAACTTGTAAGTTACACAAGCGAAACTGCAAGCATGTGTAGAAAAAGTTATTTTCACATGTCAGTGATCCTCAAAACAAGGGACCCACGTCTTAAAGGACCACTATAGTGCCAGGAAAACACTCGTTTTCCTGGCACTATAGTGCCCTGAGGGTGCCCCCACCTTCAGGGTCCCCCTCCCGCCCGGCTCTGGAAAGGGGTTTAAACTTACCTTTTTCCAGCGCTGGGCGGGGAGCTCTCCTCCTTCGTTCCCCCCCGTCGGCTGAATGCGCGGCAAGAGCTGCGCACGCATTCAGCCGGTCGCATAGGAAAGCATTTATAATACTTTCCTATGGACGCTGGCGTGCTCTCACTGTGAAAATCACAGTGAGAAGCACGCAAGCGCCTCTAGTGGCTGTCAATGAGACAACCACTAGAGGCTTTGGGGGAAGGCTTAACCCATTAATAAATGTTTATAAAAAAAAAAAAAAAAATGGGTTAACCCTAGAAGGACCTGGCACCCAGACCACTTCATTAAGCAGAAGTGGTCTGGGTGCCTAGAGTGGTCCTTTAATATAAAGCTCTCCATCCCCGAATTTGTTATCGGCTTCGGACTATACAGAGATGTACTCAGCTCTGTATACCCTTAGAGGTGAGAGGAATTTGACCTCTATTTACACAAGGTGGTGGACCTGGTGCACAAGTACGGGGGTTTCGACTTCTATGAGACTATCACAGGTCGGTTTCATCTAAGGCAGCAACAGCTCTGGCTCAATCCAACACTTGCATGGATTGGAGTCAGTTGAAATATTGTAAAGCGCTACGGAATCCGTTGGCGCTATATAAATGGCAATAATAATAATAACACAGCGCTGTTCTGCAGGCAGATCGCCGGCTTGAGACCCCGTCTTGTGCGGTTTCCTCCTCTACCTCACACTCCTCCAACTTGTGTCCTTGCGAAGCAGAACACTCTACATCTCACCCTCCACTCCCTACTCATCCTCCAACCTCTCCGTCAGTCAGGTAAAATAAGCTGGGCAGACCAGTTGTATTCCTGGACAATGCACAGATATGCAACAACCTCAATGCAATGCTTGCAGGTTGTTGCATATTTGCTCCATCTGCTTCAGGGCACATACAAAAGCCATGGGTCTTTCTAAGCTTTTTCCTATTAAATGGCTGACTGAGGTCAACATCGACACCTTAACTTACCATTTACGCACCCACCCCTCCACTCACCTGCTGCAATATTTGTTTTCTGGTTGTTCTGAGGATTCCACACAAGGTTAGTAGCACTCCCAACAGGCACACTGGAATTCCCTAATTTACTCTCAGCTACAAATGACTTATCTGCTGTTGACGAGTTGCTACGAAGAGAGATCACATCAGGCTTTATGATTGGTCCTTTTCTGCAACCTCCTTTTTATACATGGCGCACGAACCCTATTGAAGTGGTTACCAACAGCACATCTAATAAAAACGTTTGATTTGTCCGCACCTCATTCTTTAAAAAACCCCAATATAAATTCACTAATACCAGCTGAAGAATTCTCTCTCCATTATGCCTCCATGGATCATGCCATACAAGCTATTCTACTGGCTGGTGAACAAGCCTGGCTCAGTAAGATGGATATAACCAACGCCTTCAAATTACTACCGATCCATCCGTCTCCCTGGCACATCCACGGCATCAAATGGAGAGATAATTATTACTTTGCCACCAGACTCACTTTCGGCTCCAGGAGCAGCCCGAAGCTGTTCAACATATTTGCAGAGACTCTTAGCTGGCTGCTCCTGAATACAGTCAGATGCCCTACAGCCATACACTATTTGGACAATTTTCTACTGGTCGAGGCAGGTTCCCTCACTCCATGTAGTATCATTAGCACCACTGCACTGTTTTCAGCAGTAGGTGTTCCATTGTCCCCTGACAAAACAATAGGCCCCACAACACAGTTGGTATTCCTGGGGATCTCACTCGACTCAGTGTCCATGCAGGCGCGTCTCCCTGATGTGAAATTAGTACGCATTAGACAAGAACTGGACCAGTTCCTCCAAAAAGGTACTGGCACACAGAGGGATCTCCAGTCTCTACTAGGATATCCCAGTTTTGCGATGTGTCCCTGCTGGGCTTAAGGGGTTAAAACCAGCCACACCTTTCTCCAGCACCGGGCTCCCTCTGTGCTGGGGAACTCTCCACCCCCGTCGAGATCAGATCCGAATGCGCTGCAAGAGCCGTGCGTGCATTCAAACCACCCATAGGAAAGCATTTCTCAATGTTTTAAACAGTAGGCATCGCAGACATGCCAGTCAATGAAACAGCCACTAGACTAGAGGCTGGATTAACCCTCAGTGAAACATAGTTTCTCTGAAACTGCTGTTTTCAGCTGCAGGGTTAATCCTAGAGGGACCTAGCAGCCAGACCGCTTCATTGAGTTGAAGAGATCTGGGTGCCTATAGTGGTCCAAGTTTGGGGAAAATAGTGTAGTGAATAACTGTCGTCCCCTCCCCCCTAAACAAAGTCAAAGTTATGCTGCACACATGAAAGTTTACAGAAGAGCTCTGTGAAGTGGGGGTCCGCAGCCCACCAGGAACAATAAGTAGAGGTCAACAGGCGTCAATGTAGGGGGAAGGCAAACTTTTATTTATTAGGATCAAAAAAAAAAATATAAAGATGCATTTGTGTATGTATACATACATGATTAAGGCCTCTAGGCCGAAATCTTTTTTTTTTTTATTTCCAATAAATAATTTTTAACCCCCCCCCCCACCCTCAACAGTTTGTGTTGACAGTGTAAGATGTGTGTGGGATTTTTTTTTTACCCATCCAGCATCATTTTCTGCAAAGTGTGGGGCTATGATCCCTGGTGGTCCATGAGGGTGCTGACCACAATTGGTCAAACTTCTGAAAAAAGACCATGATTCCATTGTTCGGCAAATTAATGTACAAAAAAACAACTCAAGTAGTAACATTCAAATAGTTCAATGAACAGAAGATTGTTTGGAGGTGAAAAGATGTAGAAGGAACCAAGTGTGAGGAGCAAACAGTAGCAATTAAAATGAAACCCACTGAGCAGAGAATATAAGTATTAGAATCTTTGTTTAAATAGCAAGAGATTGACTATTCCCTCCTGTGAGGAGCAAACCGATAAAAAAAAAGGCCTAAGCTGTAACAAACCTAGTTTGAAAATATTTTAATTAAGTTATTTTAATCAAGGCCTAGTGAAAATAAATTCCTAAATTAAAAATGAAATCTTTAGCTAGTTGTAAATATTAAGATCATAACAGCCACCAAGAATGATTAACGTAGAAAGCCATGATTTAAATCTGAGTCTACATAGACCATAACTCACTCTACCATTAATGTATTTGGCATAAAAGGGTATTGTATTGCTTTGAGGGGGTAAAAATAAATAAAACACTACAAATTCCCTAGTGTTCTGTAGTTTATGCACAGGGAGAGTTGCTGTGAAAAGTTCAAGACATTCAAAGGTCTTGAAATTACAGCCACACCAATGTTTTAAGGAGCTATCCACTTTTGTGGGATAGCATGTTTTCTTGTTCTATTTGTCAATACATTTTTATTTTTCATTCTCCTTACACACGATTATCCATTGAACAGGAAGCTGGGCAGGGAACTACAAAACTAAGAATAACTTACTTTTTTTTAAACCTAAAAACCTTATTTTGGCATAGAACATGGAATTCCAGAATCAATTTCCCATTTTGTTAAAAGTATGATAGAAAGTAGTGTTTTCACATATCCAGAGAAGCTCTGTCCAAGCACTCCACATACCATCAGTAAAAACAAAAACACACTCGAATGATAAAGCAGGATATGAAAATGAAGGCATGTTTTAGCTTTACACTTATGTGTTAATGTTACGGAGATACTCCACTTAGAATGTATGTAACATAACTATGGACAAATTGTGGCATCATTTTCTCCACAACAGGTCATAACCATTGATGCTGACAAGCCAGTACATCTAATGCTCATTAGGTACAACGCAAAACTAGTATCAAAAAGGTCAGTTGTCAAACTCCTAAAAAAAAAAAAAAAAAATTCTACAAAAAAAAATAAATCTGCAATACAATTCTCGAAAGCATTAAAATCTACATTAAAGAAGTTGCTTTATTGAGTATCTTGGTACATTCCAAGCAAGTTAGATTAGTAGTAATGCAATATAAAAGCATTTCTTAATCTTAACATGTGCAACTTTTCCATTAAATAGGAAAAAAATCATGGCATGGTAAATATTTTTTGGGGGTGCTAGCTAGTGCCAATGTGCTTCAGAATTAAGTTTGAACCCTGTGAAGGTGTCCCTAATTCCATGGAACAGCAAAAAGTCTTCATAACTCAACCTATTAAAGGTTACACATATATACTAGGCAAACAAAAACTGGCATTTTATTGAATTTTTTTTTTTTTTTTTTTAAACATTTATTGGAAGCTATGCAGCAGTTGCAAAATACAGATATGCATTTTAGTACAGGTGCCATGTAAGAACTGCACCAACTAATTGTTATTTTTCAAGGTATTTCTGCTAGGCAAGGAATTTGGAGGTAAGAACATTGACCTTAAAAATGGGTCCATGCCACTTCTCTGCACATGGATTAAAAGCTTGTTAGAAAAATTTACAAGACTTTATTCTCAGCTCAGATTTATTCTTCAAACATAACGAGTCATCCTACCAGTGGCAAAAAACAAAACAAAAAAAAAACATTCCCTCTGAATCATTCAAAATGACACCAACCTAAGAATAGCTTAGTATAACCACATCCATATGCACTCATGACCCCGAGCAGATATAGAATACATATGCGTAAATATTATAGAATCCAGTCGTGTCCTTTGCACGTTTTTCAAACAGGTTTATTCATTAATTTGGATGACTATAAATAAGTGTTTCCACTATGGAAAAAGAAAGTGAACACAGTACATTTTCATGACTGGGGAATGGATTTTTTTTCTGAAGAAATCTTCTGAGAGGCAAAAGCTTAGAAAAAACAACCTGAACGTTTGAACTCAGTTCTTTTTTCGTGGTTATAAAGTCCTTGTAAAATTTAAGTGTACAAGGCTCTGGATGACTTATTGCTTTTCTTCATTTTCTTGCTTGGTGTCCACTTCCTTCTCTTGCTTGGTGTCCACTTCCTTCTCCTGCACTTTGTCCTTTACAGAGAGATCTTCTAGTTTTTCTGCAACTTTGTCAGCACTATCATTTTTGGTCTCTTCTGCCAAAAAGAATGAGGATTGGTTGTCACATATTCAACAAGATGCAGACAGAAAGACAGAAGACTATACACAATAGGTCGAATAACATTCACAAGTCTAAGGAGACACATTACAACACAACAATAAAATTTATTTTTTCTGGATATGATTAAATGGATTCTCCAATGCCAGGAAAAAACAGTTTTCCTGGCACTAGATGACCCTGGAGTGCCTTCTCCCACCCCCCCTCCCGGGTCTCTGAAGGGGTTAAAACCTGAATCCAGCGCTGATGTCCCTCAGCACTGGGTCAGGCTCTACCCGTGGACATCGGTGGGGGGGGACACACACCTAATGTGTGGCAGTGGCCGCGCACGCATTACACCTTTCTCCTATGGGGGTTCCTGCGACACAGGAGGTCATCATGCATAGCGTGAGGACGTCCAGCATCGTTTAGACAACCAAAAGTCGGAAGAAAAGAGCCACTAGGTGAGGACTTAACCCTGCAATGTAAATATTGCAGTTTATAAAAACTGCAAAAATTACACTTGCAGGGTTAAGAGTGATGAGAGTTGGCAGCCAGACCACTTCAATGAACTGAAGTTGTTTGGGTGCCTAGTGTCCCTTTAATGCATCATCTACATAAGTGATTCTCTAAGTCTATCAAAATGCTTTCCCATAGGATTGGTTGAAACTGTTAAAGCAGCAGAACAGGGGAAGACACAGCCCTGGCCAATCAGCATCTCCTCAGAGAGATGTATTGAATTAATGCATCTCTACGAGGAAAGTTCAGTGTCACCATGCAGAGGGTGGAGACACTGAATTTCAGTGCTCTCCACCCCAGGAAGCATCTCTAGCAGCCATCTGAGTAACCAGTTATCACAAGACTATAATGTAAACACTGTATTTTCTCTGAAAAGAACGTGTTTACTACAAAAAGCTAAAACTTGCCTATTGCAAAAGCAAAAATATAGCTGATGCTTCATTTGAGAGTGATGCGATATATTTATATTTTAATACATGTATTCTGCATTGGATTATAAACACAGAATTTAAATATGACACTTTAATATGCAGGCAAAGAATTATGTACCATAACTGTAAGCCTGTCCATCAGGTATCATTTATTTTAGCATTAACCTCTAACAAGGCAGGCGGTTCAGAGTGCAACTATTTAGAACCCAAAGCCTTACGGCCTAGAGCAGGGGTCCTCAAACTCCGGCCCCCCAGATGTTGCTGAACTACAACTCCCATGATTCTCTGGCTATGTAATTCAAAGAATCGTGGGAGTTGTAGTTCAGCAACATCTGCGGGGCCGGAGTTTGAGGACCCCTGGGAGTGATGTTATTTTCTTGCATTGCACTGAACACAAGAACAATGGGCATTTACTAGAAGGACCAAAAGAACTTCTCAAGAAAGCCAGAGCTCAGCTTCTGCCAAAGTGCAGGACATTTTAGAAGACCACATACTACCCAATAATGTTAAATTTCAAACCAAAAATCAAAACAGCGAGTACAGAGAAATATATACTCCAGTGGATTACAAGCTGGAAATCTCAGCCTCCACCACAATATTTTACCCAAAAAAAATAAAAAATAAAAATAATTCAAAAAGAAAAAAGTACACAGTTGATAAAAGTGGAGGCTGGTCCCTAGGGGCATTTGCAGCATGGTCACCTCAAATCTTTGTGGGGTGAGGGGTAGAAGTAAGACTAATGGAGTTAAAAATGCAGAGTTGAAATATGTGCACTTCCCCATCCTCTTTATTGGATAGAGATGCCATTGACAATGAGCAAGTAATGTCAGGGTATAGACCAGACATGCATTGTCTCTTCTAACAACATTTCTGATGTTATCAATTGGCTTTGCATTAGGCCTGTGTCCTAGGGATTTAAATTGTAAATGCAATAGCAGATGGAGTTGACCCTCTGAAGTAGAAGTAATTTATAGGTTGTTGTAAATGGTATGACTTTACAGAGTCAGGGATTTGGTAAATAGAGTTCAATGACCAACTCTGCAAACTTCACCAGCCCCAACTGCTAGGTAGTGGATCTTGAAACGGCTATAATAGGCTTTTTGCCAATTGCTTCTGTATGTCCATTGCAGAGTTACAGGGTTGCCAAAAGTCACTCTGTTCTAGCTTAAGTAAATTTTAATAGGCAAACACTATAATTTCATATAAAAATTAAAAGCATTGTGCTGTGACTGAAGCAGACAGCTGGTGCTCTAACAGCCGCAGTTGTTGGTCAACTCTGCTAAACATGTGATTTATTTTTCAAAAGGCAAGCCAGTGCCGTGCAAAATAAAGTTTATGACTTGTATGTTCCATGATCAACTAGACAACTTTTTGTTACAAAACAAAAGTCTTCTAAAGAAGATCCTGGAGTTTATTTAGCAGACTGAAAAAGTACCGTAACTGGAGGTAGCAGTTTGGAACAGAGTGAGTCTGCAATGCATCAGTAGAAAACTGTAGTCTATTTCCTTACCTTTAGATTCATTCCCCTTAATTTCATTCTTGCATTCTTCAAACTTTGCCTTGAACTTTTGAGCATCTGAAAAGGGGTTTAAATTAAATGTGAAAAGTATTATGGAGGTTTATGGTCTTTGCTTTAATACTTTGCAAAAAGCAAGTGACGGAGCAATTAAAAGTACAATCAAAGACAATTCAATAAACTACAACAATTATCTGTGAACTAAGGCATCAAAATAAAAAATTGATAGTTTGGTCACTTTGAAAACTGTTCGAAAGATTAAGTCTTTAGCCATTAGCCTGGCTTAAATCTTACTCTTCACTTAAAAAAAAACCAAAAAACACAGATGCAGGTCAGGATTTGTGGCACGTCTGAGTCATGGTATGTCAGTGTGTGTACTTAAGTTAATGACATTTTAGATGGGTAATGGGTGTTTGGCAGTTGGTAAACTTGGAGATGTCACCCCATCAAGTCCTCTATTTTCAGATGTACTTTACAAGGAGTAAACTGGAAAGTAAGCAGTGCTGTACATAAAAGATAATAAAGTCATTTAAAAAAAGTGTAATATATGCAATAAGGCACAAAATAAAGTGCAAGCACAAATATGTTACCACAAAATACCATAATCAGAGATGGGATACATAGTTCAATATAAAGAAAAAACATACAAACACTTTATAGTTCACTTGGGATTCGCTCAATGTGTTTCCAAGAGTTACAAGAAAGTACACCAGCCTGGAGAAAGTCACACCCTTATGTACAATGCGAGTTTTGCACAATGTTTTTATGCATTTTACTTGCGAGTTTTTTTTATTCTTATGTTATATTAAATACTACACTCCAAGTGCTTGAATTTGTTTCTCTTTATTTTACTATAAATACTAATTGAAAGTATCCCATCTCGATGATTATGGTATTTCAAGGGAACATATTTTTGACTGCCCTTTGTGTGACCACGTGTCTTATTGCACATATATTTTCTTGCGCCAAAGACATTTTCTCTTTGATTTTTGTAACTGTGATAGGCGGTTGTCTTTTGGAAGCACTTTATCAAGATTGGACTTTTGAAGAAGTACTGTACATAAGCCAAGAGTCCTTAATAAACATTCATGAGCTTAATTTATCAGGTATGTATACAAACACTTGCCCTCCCTTTAGCACTTGGCAAACTTTGTTTTATATTCCTTTGCAAAGTATTAGATCATTCTAAATCTTTTGCGCATCACAAATTGCATTCTAATCTAAAATTGATAAAGACAGAATGTCTTTATCAAATTATATTCTTGCTAATTATTTGCTATTGCAAACCATTATCCTGCAGAAAGCACAGAACTACATACCCCATAAACCACAGTTAGACTTTTCTAAACAATATGGAAATTTATAAACAAAGCAAATTCAGTTGAGAAGGTTTTAATTGGCATTATCTCACCCTCTCAATATGTGAACACAGGTGACAAAATAAAATGCAGAATTGCACAACGTGCTACTTACTCTCTGCATTTAAAAACCGAATGGCAAGCAGTTCTGGTTTAGGAGCTTCATCTGCATAATCTGCATATGTGTTCCAAACCCATGCTCTGTCACTTCCTGCATTGGGCTTGAGTTCCATTGAAGGTGTAACTGTTAAAACAAAAAGGGTTTAATTCTGTAACTCACGAAAAAAAGGTTTATATCAGAAACAAATGACTTATGGGGTCTTCATAAACTCAGAAGACCATTTCACAACTACTACATGTGATTCTCTAAATTAAATTATATTTTCCCCACAAATGTTTCCAAGACGACTTCTACGATTACAGCATGAATAATTGTCCCAAACATAAAGGACAACTCTCACCTTTTTTTCCCCCATCAAGTATTGAAAGGAGATACTATGTTAAAAAAAAAAATTTGAAAAAATAAAAATAAAATTCCCACTTAATATAAGACAAGACCGTTCAGACATATACATGCATCTTGGTTTCAGACATTTAAAGACAGACTATATTGTGTTCCCGGTTTCTTTGCCAGATGCAAAACAGGAAAGACCAGTGTTAAATCTTTAAATCCCACATAAAAATTACATCTATTTTAGAACATGACAGCTAGTCTTTTATATAGAAAAATAAGACAATGCAAAGCACTAAAACAAATCTCTATACAATTGCTTACCATAGTGATTTGCACAGATCTTCAGAGTTTTATCTCTTCTCATCAGAAGGCGAATTGTACCCTTCTCCCGGTGTTTCAACAACTTAACATCCCCAGTGCCCCTTTCTTTCCACTCAGGCGGGTCATTTTCAGATGCAAATCGAAACAATTTTGCTCGCCTATGAATTAACAGGTTAGACTTATTGAAGAAGAAGCATCACAATTTTACTTAAGCTGACAGACCTATATTTAAATGCATTTCTTTTACCAACCACCCAAGGATGAGAGGCCAAGCAGGTAAAAAGGAGTTCAGCAAATGCAGGCACCAATAATACACAGAAATGGCACTTGGTGCCTTAGTATGTATTTCTCTGTCAACTAAAAGAAATAAAACATTCTCCCTGATGGGCTTCCATTGAATACTTTGATATACAGTTTCAGGGGGAATGAGGAAAATAGTCATGCACTGACAGCCTGCATCCCCCACTAGACAGGACATCACTGATACAGGTGAGAACAATATGTACAAATGTGTACATAGGAAATTAATGTTTTGCCAGCATTATGGGAGCTGTAGTGCTCAATATCTGGAGTGTAGGTTGCCTACAGGTGACCTACATAGAAACCTAGAATGTGACGGCAGATGAGAACCAGTCGGCCCATCTAGTCTGCCCATATAGGCAATTACTACTTAAGATGTATTATAACTTACATCTTAAACATTTCTTCTTCATCCTCTTCAAGTGTCCTAATCTCTTGCTCAGGCAATGAAACTATAGGTTCAAATTGAGGATCGTGATTGGCATCCTCTGTGTTGTCAGTAGGGGTTTCATGCTCCTCCAGTGTTTCCTAGAGTGAAAAATATATAAATACAAACTGACCATCATATTACGTTCGTAAAAAGTGTAGGAATATAATCCAAAAAATAGACTTGCGTTAGTTTCAGTTACGTTGTGCTGTAGGGCTTGACAAACTAGCAAATGGTTACATGCTGCAGTATCTCAAATATACCCTGATTTTCCTGAGACTGCAGTGTGTTTCTTGCACTCCAAGCATCTTGATACCAGTTTTGATAGATGAAGAAAGCAATTGCTTTGGTCATAGGACCCCTTCATTTAAGATCTTCAGTTGCCTGCATACCCCCACAACTCATTATGGGCCACAGATACATGCCAGCTTCTTGTGACAGCAGTCCCTGACTGACTTTTTCAAAGCATCTATTGGAGATGTGTTGTTGAAGCTGAAAGGCCATTAACCAGCTCAAAAGACCAGCCACTTTTCCAATGGGAAAAGTGTTTTTTTGTTTTAATATAACCGTACGACCAACACATCTACATTTGGCAATGCCTCCCAGTTTTCAGAATCTTGTAATTTGAATTGTTTTGAAATGTGGGTCAAATAAAGACTGAGGATGTGTGGCCAAGAGCTGGTATTTAAAGGGACTGTATAGGAATCAAAACAACTTTAAATTAACAAAGAGGTTTTACTGTTTAGATCATGCCCCTGAAGTAACACTGCTCAATTATCTGCTATTTAGGACTTCTATTACTTGTTCCTGTTTGTTCAGCCCTGCCACACCTCCCCAAGCTGGGACTCTTACAGCCAGCATTAAAAAAATAAATAAAAAAAGTGGTTTCATTTTCAATCAAATTCTCATGGGACACTACAGTTTAATGTAGTAGTTCTGGTGTCTACAGTCGGTCCATACAATGCCTTTTTCAGAGAAAAGGCAGATTTTACATGGCTGCCTAGAAAAACACCTCTAGTGGCAGTCATTCAGAATGCCACTAGAGGTGCCTCCCGGGACAGTACTGCACATTTCAACATTTCTACACCATGCATGGAGGCTCTGAACATTTTGCAGAGATGCAATAATTTGTCTGGTGCCACCCCCACCGCTTTGGAAAGCATTGGATTGGCTGAGATAGCATATTCTGACGATCTCAGCCAAGGAGGCAAATAGGGGGTGAGGCCAGCACAGGCAGACCTTCAAAAAAAACTTTGTTTTTTTAACCTTATTTAATGAGGGCAAGGGGAGTTTGGGCACCTAAATAGTAATTTTAATAAAATAAGGTCAGGAATACACTGTATTCAAGACCCTATAGTATTCCTTTAACTGAGCAGAAGATAAATTGTAAATTAAACTGAACAATAAAAAAAAAAAAAGTTTAAACATGAGAACTTCTCTTTACAGGAAATGTGTAAAGATACTGTGCACACTCAGCGGAGGTGTGACTTTGCCATTTAGGAGTAATTTAACACCTAAATGGCAAGGAACCGAACAGTTAATCTGCAGATCTATACATTAAAACCACTCAATTAAAGTTACATTTGTTTGGTAGTTAGAGTACATTAAAAGGGACACTATAAGTGAGTAAACAGGTGAAGAGCCATTAAGCTTCGCCAAAAAAGTGCCACCATGTCATACATGCCCAACAGACGCAGCTTAAAAGTAGACTCTGGCAAAAGGGGTACACACTGGTAATTAGTTGGAACATGCATCTGCTCTGTAAAGTTTAAACAAAATTGTGCTGAAACAGTGCTCAGTCAACAGAACACAGGGTTGAACAATACCCCTGTCACTGACAGAACTGCAGCATTAGCAAACATTTAACCCTACAACAGCCTGTGAATCGAAAATCTGTTACTGAGCTTGCTAACTTGTTGCACATTCTTTTATTCATCAAAACAACTATTCACAAGAAGGACCAATATGCTTGTACTGTAAATGCAAACAATCCTAGTCAGTACAAGCACAAATGTCATTAATATTAAATCAGGAATTTATAAATGCAGTATGTAGGGATAATTCAGATACCCAGGACTATCTGAAGAAAGCACTAAACTATTTACAAAATGAGTTTAGTGTCAATTATACCTCCTGTTCATAAACACTGTTTTAGCTTGCAATTTAGTGAGCTGCTCTTGTGATTAAAGTCCATGAAATAGCATAATTTTGGCATACTGGACAATACCTTACCACCACTAAAGTAGGAGAGGCTGCTGTGATCCCAGTTGGGAAATACAACCTGGTATTAGTACCTGGTATAACCTGGTACTAGTAGGGGCATGATAGCTTTGGCCAAGGTAAAGCAAAGAGACTGAAAAGTCACTTGAAGTATTGGCCACATTCCGCTTTTATTTTAATGGCAGGTGTCTGATTTACACATCTATATTTGCTCTTCCTTAGAATGGTTCAAGGATCTAAGAAATATAGAGTAGGTAGGGCCTCCACCACCACTGAGGGTACAGGTCTAAAATTGCAGACCTTTAGGTCTTGCTTTCTGCCTTGGAGAACCTGCTATGACTACATGGGGAATATTGAGAAGGTTCCTATAGACAGCAGATCTCCATTTGACAACTCCTGAAACAGACTACCTTCTCTTCTTTCCAAAGCTCTCTTGGCTGACTTGAGATGCCAAATGTAGACACAATGTCACAATTAATGGTGGAATTCACCTGCCACAAAGAATGAACAGCAGTAACAAAAAAAAAAAAAAACACAACAGCGAAGGAAAAACAATAAGCCCTAAAGCAGATTTGATTCAAGCTTCAGAGCCTAAAAAGGTTATCCACAATTCTTGATGACAAGAAACAAATGAAGCACAGGAAATCCCTTAAAGGAGCACTATAGGGTTAGGAACACAAACACCATCTAGTCCCCCTGGCCCTCTCACGCCTCCCTAAATATAGTAAAATCTTACTTATTAAAGTCTGGAGCTGCTTGATTCGTCCCTGTTTCCTTTAGACCTGCTGACATCATCAGAAGTGGTAGCCTGATCCAATCACAATGCTTCCCCATAGGATTGGCTGAGTCTGTCATGAAGGCAGATCAGGGGCAGAGCCAGCACAATTCAAACACAGCCCTGGCCAATCAGCATCTCCTCATAGAGATGAATTGAATCAATGAATCTCTATGAGGAAAGTTCAATGTCTGCATGCAGAGGGAGGAGATACTGAATGTTTGGATGCATTTTAGGCAGCCATGACCCAGGAAGGATCTCTAACAGCCATCTGAGGAGTGGCCAGTGAAGTTATCACTAGGCTGTAATGTAAACACTGTCTTTTCTCTGAAAATAACTGGTTTACTACAAAAACTAAAACTTACCTATTGCAAAAGCAAAAATATAGCTGATGCTTCATTTGAGAGTGATGCGATATATTTATATTTTAATACATGTATTCTGCATTGGATTATAAACACAGAATTTAAATATGACACTTTAATACGCAGGCAAAGAATTGTGTGTTTACAGCAAAAAGCCTGAAGGTAATGATTCTACTCACAAGAACAAATTCAATAAGCTGTAGTATATTGTCCCTTTAAGATGTGCAGGTCTGGCGGAGGAGATGAACATAGCAAAGCTCCTTCGGCTCTCCATGCAGATATCAGGACGAGAGGGAGGAAGCGCAAAAAAAAAAATAAAAAAGGAAAAGAAAAATCCGGCAATAGCTTCTGCATGACCACAATTGAGCTGTGCATAGACAACACAATTCACTTAATAGCAGAGTCATGGCAGGTTCACTTTAACCGATATTCCCCAAATATAAGTGGGTGGTATGCTGGTTACTCCTTTGTCCTGCCTGAAAAAACAGTGGTATGGGAACCCATGTATAAATAGGATTAAAGGAACACTGTACAGTCAGGAACACAAACCTGTATTCCTGACCCTATGGTGTTAAAATAACTATCCAGCCCCCTTCCCCTCTATTTTTTTTTTTTTTTAATAAATATCTTATTCCAGCCTGTTGGCTCTGCCTCCTTGGCTGACATCAGAAGTGATGATCTCAGCCAATCACAATTCACAAACCCTGCAAAGAATAACTACAATAAGCTGTAGTTGTTCTTGTCCCTTTAAAATACAATCTATACATTTCTTAGCACATTATATAGATGGAATTTAATATAGATCTTAAATAAAATGGTCTCACTTTAGTTTTAGGACAGGTGTGTGAACGACATTTTACAATCAGGTTAATGGTTTTCCAATTATTTAACACCAAAGCTGATTCAATGACAGCCCTGTGTCCTCTTTTTCTCTGTACACCGCAGAGTTTAAAACAGTGGGACTGAGAAAGGAAAGCCCACAATCTAAAACATAGGAACAACCATAGCTAAAATAGATATTTATATATATTTTTAACCTTAAATAACAGATTAAGTGACACTATATGTACCCTTACCATTATGGATGTAGTGTCCCCATCATTTAATCCTGCAGCCTAAAACATTGTTCTTTAGTAGATCAGCAATGTTTTGCTTGCAAGACTAAACACACCACTAGAGGGTACTACCGAGTTTGACTTGTTTATGTGATGTTCCATGATGAGCATCATCAAATGCTGAACATAGGGAAGAGATTGGATTCAGTGCTTCCATATTAGATTGTCCCCAATGCTTCTCTATGAAGCCAAGGAAGTGACACCTGTGGGGACGAAGTCATATAGGTAGCACCAAGTGGGTCATGCATTGGAAAACCGGTATATAAAAATGATTTCATTTTCTGGGCCCCTGAATTTAGATGCAGGGGTCTAGTGTCTATAGCCTGTCCCTGCAGGCTATTAAATATAAACATTGCTGCCTAGGGACACAGACACTAAAGTCCCTTTAACTCCATTCAGGACAGGACGGTTCAGGACCGTCCTCTGCATTTTTGCATGGCCGACCGAGGACAGTCCGGAACCGTCCTAATGGAAAACGGGTGGCAGGAGCGATCGTAGATCACTTCCGCCGAAATCCCGTTATTACTATCTGCCCGGCATCCCAGGCAGATAGTAACAGCCAATTGCGGCGTGTGAGTTATCCGCGATCGCTCACAATTGGCTGGTGTCAAAGTGGGTGTTACAAACACACACTTTGACACTGATCTCTGCCTCTCTCCCCTCTGTAGCGTTTTGTGAGGAGAGAGAGAGATCGTGATAACTCGACAAGCCTGTGCATGGGTGGTATCACTGTACTCGGGAGATGTTGCTTAACATATATTAGTGTGTTTTTTTTGGCAGCAACACATAACAGGATCTGTAAGTTTATACCTGAATTGCAGTGTATGTGAAAAAAAAAAAAAAACAAACAAAAAAAACAGACTACCTATGCAAAGTTTTGCAAAGACTGGTGGTAAAATGGCTGCATAGAAAGTGTCAAAATATCCTTAGATGAATACCCTGGGTTGTCTACTTTAAAAAAATATATATATACACAGACATGTGGGGTGTTTTCCCAGAGATTTATGACAGATAACAGTGTTACAATGTCACTATTGATAAATTTTAAAAATGTATATTTTGAAACCACAATATCCTACTTGTACTTATAGCCCTATAACTTGAAAAAAAAAAAAAGAAGAAAAAAAAAGCATGTAAACACTGGGTATTTTTAAACTCAGGACAAAAATTCTAATCTATTTAGCAGTTTTTTTCATTAGCTTTTGTAGCTGAGTAAAAGATTTTTCAAGTAAAAGTAAAAAAAAAAAAAAAACGTATTTTTTTCAATTTTAAATCCCTGCTCACACTAGGAAACCCAGGTATCATTAGAAACCTGGGGGTCCCCTCTGTCAGCTGGGGCCATTTTTAGTGGCCCCAGACTTTTTGATGAGCTGCATGCAGTGCTGAAAGTCAGCACTGCATGTAGTCATTTAAATCCACAAAGAACACTGCAGCTGCACAATCAAGCTCAGCTACAGTCATTCTCTCAAGTGATCAGGTGCTTGGGAGACCCCCAGGGTCTGAACAGACCCTGGAGTGTCACCCTCTATGGCCCAATGCCATTCTGATCAGTGCTGGGCATTTTCAGTTGCCCAGCACAGATTGCATTGCATTGGGCATAATGTCTTCAATGTAAGAGATGGGAGACGGCAATACTGAAAATAGCCAGTAGATGGTAGCAACATACCACTGTATGTTAGTTTAAAAACCCCTTTACTAATATCAGTACTGATATTAGTAGATGGAAACCTTTGGGATTAAGATTAAAGGACCACTCTAGGCACCCAGACCACTTCAGCTTAATGAAGTGGTCTGTGTGCCAGGTCCTTCTAGGGTTAACCCATTTTTTTTTTTTTTTTTTTTTTAAAAAGGGTTAACCCATTTTTTTTTTGCTATGTTTATGAATGGAAGAGACAAAAGTGGTAAACCGCGCCCAAACAGTGCAAATAATTAAAATATATACATACAGAAAGTCCTCTAATTAGGAATGTATAAAACCTTCAATGCAAAAAAGTACAGAACAATAATAGTGCAATATGTCAAGTGAATTAAGAGTATATAAAAGCTTATAAAAGACTCACTCACTCAGGGATGCCCACTATCCCCAGTCCTATTTGCACTCTCCCTTGAACCGCTCCTACAGAGCCTCAGGCTCAACACCGACATAACCGGCCTCAGAATACGAGAGGAAGAGTATAAAACGGCAGCATATGCAGACGACCTACTCATCACAATCACGGAACCCATAACCTCCTCACCACCACTTCTACACGCCCTAGAAGCATATGCGGCGGTATCAGGGTACAAACTAAACATAGATAAAACAGAAGCCCTCTCAATACACATAGACCCTTCCACAACAGCAGCCATCCAAGAAAAATACCCCTTCAGATTAAATCCCACCCACATACAATACCTGGGGATCGCTATCCCGGCAGACCTACCCCAATGCTATGCTCGGAACTATACACCCACGATACAGAAAAAAACCCACGACATCTCTACCTGGCAAAACATGCCGATCTCGTGGCTGGGCAGACTAGCGTCAGTCAAGATGAACGTGCTCCCTAGGCTTCTATACCTATTCCAAACCCTACCGATCCCAATCCGGAGCAGCGACTTCAAAACATTACAAACAACCATCGACAAATTTATATGGGCCAACAGACGCGCCAGAATAAAACGCCAAACCCTATATGTACCCAATAGAGCCGGGGGCCTGGGCTTACCCCACCTTACACATTACTACCAGGCAGCCCAACTAACGCAGGCCCAAAACTGGCACGCCCCATACGGAGCTAAACGTTGGGTAGATCTTGAACACGACATCTTCGGCAGAGACTTCCCCTCACTATACATCTGGCTACAGAAATCAGCGAGGCCCCCGCTGCCCCGCACATCACCGGCGATACTCAACACCATAAACATATGGGACAAAACAACTCACAAGAGCGGCCTTACAACCCAACACTCACCATTAACCCCACTACTTCGCAACACCCACTTCCCACCGGGCATGACACCCAAAGACTTCGCCCGCTTCGAGGCAAACGACCTCACTCGACTGTTCCACTACTACAAAAACCAACAACCAATACCTTTCCCAGAGCTCCCACATGCAACGCCATACCGTACATTTGACATGTTCCGCCACATCCAAATCAAAAGCTTCCTAGACATGCCAATAACCAAACAAGCAGGAACTAAAGAGCTCACATCCTTCGAAAAACAATGCATGCAATCCCCGACACAAAAAGGCCAAATATCCGCACTCTACACACACCTAATCCAAAATGTTAAAGACGGGGCCCTTACATATGTGTCGGCTTGGGAGAGGGATCTAGGCCCGGCAGAAGACCCGACTGATTGGGCCAGGATCTGGGAGGCCACAGCATCTATATCAATCTGCGTCAACCACAAAGAACAGGCGTACAAGACGCTTATGAGATGGTATCTTACCCCCCTCAGGCTCAAACAGATGGGCAGGTCAGACACATGCTGGAAAGGTTGCGGACAGAAGGGCACATACCTCCACATGTGGTGGGAATGCACACCCACCGCACAACTTTGGCAACAAATAGCTTCCATGGTATCAAAAATCCTCCACACGGACATACCACTAAACCCCTGGACATGGCTCCTATCCAAACCGCTTCCCAACACACCTAGGGCCCAAAACAAACTAATTGCCAAAATAGCACTGGCCACTAGAAGAGCCATTGCCGAAAAATGGGGTAGCCCAGAAACCCCGACCGTGGGTACAATAACCCAAAAAATAAAAGGAGACAATTAAAATGGACGAATTGTCCGCACTGGTACACGACTCGACTAAGCACTTCCACAAAATCTGGGACCCATGGTTCTACGAAAACCCTCTCTCCACCTGAAACACACACACCCCCACACTACAAAAACACTCCGCAGACACTTAAACCACCAGCACCTCCCAGAACCATCAGACACATCCCCTCTAGTACCAGCCACCCACACACACAGAAACATAAAAGAGCCAAGACCACCAAACATAACCCCCAACCACACAAACTGAGAGAACCCCCAGACAAGAAACCCCAAAGGGCCGAACAAATCCCCCAATACCGGACACCCCGAAACAAATACAACAGAACCAAACATATCCGCCAACTAAGAAAACAGCTGAAACAGCCTAAATCCAGCGACCACACAACAAAACCACCATACCAACATCCCCAGAAGTAAGCAAAACCACAACACAACTCCAATGAGAGGCACCCAGCACACACTTAAATAATAGAAAACATACAGATGGGAAACCATAAAAGTGGGCCACAATAGAAGCAACATACGACAACAACCACAATACTCATACCATCTCAGACTCACCAACGGGCTGAAAACCCACGCTGGCCGACACACACACACCGACTTACCAGGTCACCCCTTATAACTGGGTCCACACCCAGCCTGAAAAGCACAACGGAAACAACAGGTGAAGGTAACCCACCCCACACCTCCCCTTTCCCCGGCACCCCTCTTACACCCCCAGACATTACAGTGAACCAGACAACTCGACCAAAACCGAGCATAGACAACACCTGAACTAGGAAACAACGCAAAACAGGCAGGAAAAAGTACCCCCAAACACCTGCCCCCTCACTCCCACCCAATGGAACAATATGCGCTAACATCGTACGACGCAACCCATCACGGACACTACACCACGCAAAAGGCTCACACAAGCCAACTCATTCCCAAAACCACCCAGACCCACCAACATAAAGAGAACCGGATTGATTTAAAGGAAGAATTGAAACTGTATGTAAATGTACCCCACTCACCTTCCCTCTTCTTTTTTCTGTACCCCACCCAATCCCCAAAGAAAAGTTGAAAGATATGCCACATGATATAGCCTGATCATATGCTACATGAGAATATGATAACTCTGTAAACTATGTATGACAATTGTACCGCCAACTTTTCTTTTCTGTATCCCCACGTTAAATGACAAAAATCTTCAAAATAAAGAATTTATAAAAAATAAAAAAAAAGACTCACTCACACTTTGCAGAGCTACTCAGAGCTCTGCCGTATAGCGCCTAGATGGTTAAAAAAAAAATAAAATAAAAAAAATGTGCTGGCTATCTTTTGTAATTAAACATATGTCTTATTTGCTTTTATTATATGTTTTTATATTTACATTCTTTCTTTAAATTTTATCACCTTGTTAATTACATAATTTACTTATTTTATTCTTATATGTATTGTATCCCATATCGGCAATTTGCCGAACTACAATTCCCATGAACAATACCAGATTATGATACATCACTTCCGGGTGACGAAACTGTTTATAGAGAAATGGACAATGTAAACTACATGTCCCATCAACCATTGGGAGATACGCTGATGTCACTTCCGGGAGCCGCACACAACATGAATGGAGGGATACTACATATCCCAGCAAGCTACGAAAAGACTCGCTGACATCACTTCCGGGTGACACACGCGACCCGGAAGTAGGAAGTGAAATTGCATCAGGACTAAATCACATTAATCAGGAACACTTATATAAAGAGGACTCCATTGAATTTTGGACTTATTACTTCTGAAGAAGCCCCAGACCGGGCGAAACGCGTTAAGTAAGAGATCTGATACTTTTATTACATATTTTTTATTTTGTAACAATAAAGTTATAGTTTTTACTACTTTATTTGTTGTTCCTGATACATCTTGAATCCTAAATTATATCCTTTGGTGGGGATCATACCACCACATGCTGTCTATACCAGAGCAAGATATTTGCTCTGAAATTTGTAAGTAGGATACTTTTCCTTTATTTGCACACTTTTAATAGATATACTACACTATTGGATTTTATTTCTATTTTTATCTTTCCATATACCACTGTGGAGGATTGGATACCGCATTATACCATCACTTGATATCCTGAGACGGGGATTATACCGTCTATGCGCTATACGGCAGAGCTCTGAGTAGCTCTGCAAAGTGTGAGTCTTTTATAAGCTTTTATATACTCTTATTTCACTTGACATATTGCACTATTATTGTTCTGTACTTTTTTGCCTTGAAGGTTTTATACATTCCTAATTAGAGGACTCTCTGTATGTATATATTTTAATTATTATTTGCACTGTTTGGGCGCGGTTTACCACTTTTGTCTCTTCTGTTTTACTACTGTGAGCAGGTATTGGGAATTCCTGCTTGGTTCACTGCTGCCTACCTTTAGTTTATTTAGTGAGTGCCTAACTCCTCTTTGTTATGTTTATGAATGGGTTAAGCCTTCCCCCTAATCCTCTAGTGGCTGTCTCATTGACAGCCACTAGAGGTGATTGCGTGCTTCTCACTGTGATTTTCACAGTGAGAGCACGCAAGCGTCCATAGGAAAGCATTGAGAATGCTTTCCTATGCGACCGGCTGAATACGCGCGCAGCTCTTGCCGCGCGTGCGCATTCAGCCCAGGAGGAGGAAAAGAGGAGGATCGGAGGAGGAGAGCTCCCCGCCCAGCGCTGGAAAAAAGGTAAGTTTTAACCCCTTTCTCGAGCCGGGCGGGAGGGGGACCCTGAGGGTGGGGGCACCCTTAGGGCACTATAGTGCCAGGAAAACGAGTGTTTTCCTGGCACTATAGTGGTCCTTTAAATTAAGTATTATTGGGTTTAGAATAAGTACTAGATTTATTATCAGGTTTATTGTTAAATTTATGTTTAAGATTAGGTTTATAATTTATTGTAGTATTGGGATTATGTTTCAGATTAGGATTAGGGTCAGCACGGGCATCCCTTGCTGAATATAGCAAGTAAATTCCTCTGCTGACACAAGCAGGGGGAATCATTTTAACACTATTGCTAAAGGTAGGATTGAGATTAGGATTAACGTTATAATTCAGGTTACACATGGGATTACGTTATGGGTTAGGATTGTGGTAAGGGTTTATTATTAGATTGAGGGTTAGATTGGGATTAAGAGCGCTACTTTCCAAAGATATACATATAGGGTATATTTGTACTGAGAAGATGCTGCTGGGTACAGCTAAGATAATTTTATGACAGTGGGACACACGAGATTTAAAAAACAAGCATCAAAAACACTATGTAAAAATATTTAGAATAAAAATACTACAACCTTTTAAACAAAATGGTAACAAAATGTCACTTCTATAAAGCTTATAATGTTTTATGTGAGAGTCCCCATGGTGTCCATGTTTGTAAATGGTATGCATTGGTGGTGCAATTTAAATATATGAGTGACTAAAATGCCCCAAAATGAAACAAAGACCCATTGTCAATTTGCCATTTATTAAAAAAAAATAAAAAAAAAAATAAACTGTACTGGGCCGGGTATGATTTTAGCCCCGTATTTGTTCACAAAAACCTGGCTAAGGTATACAAGGGGGGTAATTTTGTACTCAGGAAATATAGCAGAGAATAATTTAGTGATTTAAATTTACAATAGCATATATCAAGTTTCCAAAATTAACCACTAAAATACAACATGTGCGTATAAAAATGCAAAAATAAAATATGATAAAATTTGAAAGAAACTGGTGCTGACATAACTGTATAATAAAGCTCAAAATATACCATATGACATAGCTCGTGGTGTCTACTTTCACAAATGGTATGCATTTACGGGGTAATTTTAACTGTAAAACTGCTACAATGCCCTAAAATGTGATAGACACATTAAATCCATTTATCAAAATTCTAATTGTAAAAACTGTAATGGTCAGGACTCTTAAGGCACCGTAGCTTAGAAAAGACATACATTGGGGGTATTGTTTCATTCAGAAGATTTTGCCGAGCATATTTATGGGGTTTTGATCACAGTGGTACATACCAGGCTTGAAAAATTACCCCCCAAAAATGTAACGTGTATGTAAAAAAAAAAAGGAAAAAAAAAAAGATTTTTCTTATAATAAATACGAATTTATATCTGTATATGTTACATCAGATTAAAGCCCTTTTAAAAAAACGGTATGTAACATGTGCTGGTGCAATAAATAAGAAAAATGCAAACTGAGGTTGAACACAAAACAGCAAAAAATGTTTGTGTCCTTAAGGGTAGGTCCAGTTTTTGAAGCTGCGTCCTTAATGCGTTAAAACCACCATCTAGCCCCCCGTCTCCATAAATATACCAAAATCTTACTGTATTCAAACCTGAAACTGTAGCTCTGCATGCTGTTTGCCTAAAAAAAAAACAACAAAAAACAGGCAGTCTGCTGACCTCACCAGAAGTGGCAGCCTGATCCAATCACAATGCTTCACCATAGGATTGGCCGAGACTGACAAAGAGGCAGATCAGGGGCAGAGCCAGCACGATTCAAACATAGCCCTTCCAATCAGCATCTCATCATAGAGATGAATTGAATCAATGAATCTCTATGAGGAAAGTTCAGTGTCTGCATACAGAGGGAGGAGATACTGACTGTTTGGATGCATTTTAGGCAGCCATGACCCAGGAAGGATCTCTAACAGCCATCTGAGGAGTGGCCAGTGAAGTTATCACTAGGCTGTAATGTAAACACTGCATTTTCTCTGAAAAACCGTGTTTACTACAAAAAGCCTGAAGGTAATGATTCTACTCACCAGAACAAATACAATAAGCTGTAGTTGATCTGGTGACTATAGTGTCCCTTCAATAAAATAAAGGAAGTAGTTAGCTACCACTTAAAGAGGTATCAGTTTTGTTTTTAAGTAGTACTGCGAAGACTTCAGTGAGCATGTCACATGTTATTTAAAATGTGAATGCATAGTGCAGGGATAGGCAACCTACGCCACTCCAGATATGCACTATATCTCCCATAATGCTCTTACAGGCACAATGCTGGTAAAATATCAAGAGAGAATTAGTCTGCAACATCTGGTGGTCTGAAGGTTGCCAACTACAGGCCTACTGTTAACAGACCAGGTCTTTGACATCACTAATAAAAGGATATTTTATTCGGTCACTAGCCATTAATAAGTGAAAACCCCCTCTGGCAGCACAGGACTTGACTGTTTAGGGTAACTAACCACCATAACAAGACCTGGTTTTAGAAGAGGTTATGCAGGCAGGAGTCTGTATGTATTGGGGGCTAGTTACACCCCTCCCCCCCCCACACACACAAGTCACATCAGCCTGAAACTGCCCAATGTTAATTATGTGCAAAAACCTGTGTCATCATGAAACTTTATTTTATTTTCTAAAAGGACCTCTCTTATCTTTGGTTCAGAGGGTTCACACAAGTCTGTGCATTGCCAACAAGAACAGCACAGTTGTATCTAATTAACCTGGAAGTACATGTATAGACTTCCTAAACCATCACTTGCATTCCTGGTGGCAATTCCAATTAGAAGACGTGGTAATGACAGTATACAATATATATATATATAGTATTAATGCGGTGCGGGTGTTACAGAGAGAGTACGCTCTCTCCTCCTGGTCTGACCGAGCAGACACCCAGAAGGACCGGCTCCCCGGGGAGGGAGAGGCTCCCCGGCGGGCGGGCTGAGGATGGGGAGAGGGTGGCTGACACGCGGTGAGTGTCCGCATGGAGATGGAGGATGTCGTTGTGCGTCACGGCAGTGTGGGTACCGCCAGCGGGATGCAGGGATCGCGCCGCCCGCAGCGCTGCCATGCTGGGAGGTGCCCGGGACGATGCCCGGGATGCCGGACAGTCTCCCCGCCATGACCCGCCGGGGGCGGTGGATCCCGGAGACAATCCGCCCGGAGCATCCCCGCCCTGCGCCCAGAGGGCGAGCCGGGCGGGCGGCGAGGGGAGCGGGGCCGGTGTGGGGGGAGGCTGCGGCCCGTCACGTACCTTGGTGTCGGCCATCGGGCGGAGGATGGAGGCGGATTGAGCGGGTGGGTCTCGGCTTGCCTGGATGTCTCTCCTCCGTCCGCGGGTTTCGCGCTGTTTTTCCTCACTCGGCGTAGCGTCGTGCGTGGCGCAACTAGCTCCTCACCGTGCGCCCTGACGTCACACACACCCAGCAAAATGGCTGCCCCCGGGCGACTCCTCCCCCTCAGGCAACGTCACATCCGACATAGAACTTCAGAATTTCCCTGCGACGTGTCTAGACCGGCTGCTTTCACGGCGCTGCTGCCGGTGCCGCGTGGACAAGAACTGAACACCCCGGGGCTGCTGCTGCTGTCACCAAACGCTAACGGCACCAGCAGAGCGCCAGCAGCCGGAAGCTGGAGCAGTATCCAGGCAACGGCCAACGCGGCTTCCGGGATTAGCAGCGCGTGGCGGAGGTGGGCGTGGCTTCCTGTGACGTGCAATCATGGCGGCCCCCATGTAAGATACCAATGCTGTGTGTGAGTTTGGGTTCTCTGTGTCTCTGGGAGTGACGGACACGCTCTCCGCACTAACTGAGCGATTCTATAACACGGACAGCAAGTGAGCCGGCCTGCTCTGCATTATCTGCCTGATGGAGGGTGGCGGACAGATCACAGGGCCGCTCTGCTCTCACCATAAAGAAGCCATGTGTCTGGGAAAATCATACACTGCACACCCAAACCTATACAGACTGATTCACTACAGTGAGAATAGAAACTGAATCTCAAATTTAAGGCAAAAAGTTTAATTGAAAAGATTCTCCAGCCATGCTTCCAGTTCAGCCACTTTGGCCTAAAATTTTGAAATTCACTTTGAATTCTAACTTTAGTGAATAACCTCAGTAGACTGAATTTAGAATAAAAATATTTAGTGATTAACTACTGCATTACCGTTGGATTAGGAAATAGGGTAGAGAGATGGTTCTTTCAGATGTGAAATTAATCAATGCTGTCTATGATAAATGATGAAACTTATATGCCACATTTCTATTTTCCCCAAATTGATACACTACACAAATGTGCACCTTAAACCGAGGTGTTGAACATCATTGGCATTCCAATTGTTGTTGGGCTACAACTTGACTGGACTGCAGTTAGTAGACCAAAATAACTGAAGCGGGAAAATCTCCAATTCAAAGTTATTATTAATCTCATTTGTTTTGGACTTAAATTTGTATTTACCTTGCCAGATATTCACTAATCATGGATTAATAAATAACACCACAACCAGATAGATTATCCACTAAACTGGAAATTGAACAAATGATTTACAGTTTTATGCCAATATAGAGGAAATGGAAAACAATTTCCAAGTTGGTTAATTTTAAAGCCTGCTTACTTAGGCCAAAGAAAACCCCTTGGTCAACTCCCAGTAGAGTATATAACCCTTACATCTCACAAGAAGACACAGGATAGAAAAGGTACAGGATTATTCATAAAATTGCAAATTCTTGCGAACTCACCAGTAAACCGCATATTTTAGAACAGGAGCAGGCAACATTCGGCACTCCAGATGTTGTTGACTACACCTCCCCTCCTGTTTTACTAGAATTATGACTGTAAGAGTAATGTAGTATACAAGTTATGGAGTGCCAAAGATTGTCTACCCCTGTTTAAGAAGAAAATAGCCAAACTGTTTTCAGTTCTGTTGTTTGAGGCATAAAGATGCTTAGATTTCATCTCAATATTGCATTAGCAAAAGTGTCATGAAATGCATATATTTTTTTTATTAGAAGTAGCCAATACAAACAGGATGATGTCAACATCAGTATGAATTTTTTTAGTTACAAATAATAGGAAAAAAAGGAAGAATAAATGTCACTGCATTGATCATGTAATAAGAAGAAATGTGTACATGGCTACATCGAAGAGACATAATCTTGCCATGAAAACCATATCTTTTCAAATGATGGAAGTACATAATAAACCAGGGTTCTCAGTCTATCTAAATGGTACTCTAAGATTTTGTCACCATGACGCTGTTCTTCTGGTCGCTAGTGTTATTTTATTAAAACTTTGGAAAGACCTCTAAGGGACGGAATAACAGACCTATTCTGACCTCTGAAAGACAGCGCCAAAACAAATTCTATGACAAAAATAGAATAGCCGCAACCGTCCAGATGTCCTCCCTTGAGTCCTCTAACACCTCTCCTAGATCTTGTTCCACTTAGTTATGTAGCTTAAAATAAAAAATACTAGCTAAAACTAATTTAATTTAATTAATGGCTCCTCAGTGTGCTGGAGGGCTGGTGAGAGTGCACTGCAACAGAAATAGAAAATTGTTCAAATTTTGTCTCAAGAAATCAAGGGGTGCTTACCACCACCAGGACCTCCAAGCATGTACCCTAGCCATTTGCAGCTCCCAGCTGGATAGGAATAGACGATCTGCTTGGCACAGCAGTCAGAGCTCCCAACTCTGCTATCCATGCAGCTTGATGCCCAGTCAGTACTCTTGCTCCCTGTCACTGTGCTTATCCACCTGCAATCATGAGTATACGATGATCTGCTGATGTAGGGTAAAATTCTTCAAGCAGCCATTCACAGTAGTGAGGGGATGAGAATGGGGGCACAGTGGTAGAATGTGAGTACAAACATAACTCCTGCAGAATATACATATGTCATCATGATAAATTAAATGTTTACTGCTTTATGAGCTGTGATATATTAAAGGGTCACTATAAGCACCAATAATAACTGCATCATTGCAATGTTGATGGTGTGGAGAATACCAAATGCTTGCCTTAGGTCTGAGTACCTTATAAACATTTCCGAAATTGCTGCAGTTATTACTGCTGTGTATGGTGTGCACAGACTGACCTCTCTCTCTCTCTCTCTCTCTCTGAGATAGCTCTGCCCATTAATTACATACTCTGGTTAACAATCCGGATTGGTTGAGCCTCTTCCTCATGAGGGAGAGGTCTTTCTGTTAATTGCTGTGCAAGTGCAGTAGGATGTTAAAACAATTGTATGTCTATTTATTGATGCACCATTTTTAATGCATTCTAAATATAAATACTAAAAACAGTTGATGCATTTTTTTAAATATTGATTCAAATTGTAATTTGCTTAATTTCTGCTACCCAACAGTTTAGTGAATAACCCTGTTTACAAATCTTTATATTCTTGTACAAGAGCTATGCTAGTGGTGTGTGCTTCAGAGACTCAGATTGTTATGGTCCATTTGATATAGCATACCGTTTTCCACATGCCACGCTTCTTCCATTTTTGTAATTCTAAAATATATACCGTAGATATGGCTTCACTGTCAGACAGTGCCTGCTGTAGGCAGAATTTCATAGGAGAACTAGTAACATCATGCTCTTTTTAAAACCCTGCCAACATTCATATTGTATATGTATGTGGATTCAGATGAATTTGATACTGTGTCAGATTTCATTCTGCTTATTTTGTAATCAGCCGTGAGAAAAAAAGCAAAGTAGTATCCAAAGGAATATTAGTATTTTGAGGAAAATTGAGTGTAGATATAGCAATTCATATGTTAAATTGTGTAGAAAGTAAACCAGATGCCTTTCGTTGTAAGAACCCTGGTCTAAATGTCACAACCACTAATATTCTGAAACATAGAAAACATCATTAACATGCCTGTCTCACACCTTATATTCATAGAACTGAACAGAAGATGGATATTGCAGACAATGAAAACATCACCAGTGCAGAAGAACCATGTCAAGTAAATTCACCGGAGGATGAAAACAAAGAAGAGAAAGAAAAAGAGTCTGCGCTGGAGAGTGAAGATGCTACAAGTAGTTCAGGAATATATAGATATATTAAGGATGACCTTTTCACTTCAGAGATATTCAAAGTAGAAATACAAAACCTACCAAAGTACATAGGTATTAATGACATAAAGAAATTCCTTGCCAAGTATGGACTGAATCCTCATAAAGTTAAACTCATGAATAAGCAAACATTTGCATTCGTGACTTTTAAAAGTGAAGAGGAGAGAGACAAAGCCATGAAAGTCATACATGGAGTGATGTGGAAAAAACGTGCATTGAGTGTCCGGCTAGCAAAGCCCAGGGCTGATCCCATAGCGAAGAAGAGAAAACAAGAAGAAGAAGATGCTAAAGAACAACCTGATCATAAGCGTCACACTTTACTGGAAGATGGACAGGAAGTGCCACTCAGCAAACAGATTGCAGATGTAGTAACTCCTCTATGGCAGGTACCATACGAAGAACAGCTGAAAATGAAGGAACGGGAGTGTGAACATGCTCTGCAGAAACTGACCAAGTAATAAAGGCAACATTCTTTTTTCTATTAGATTGCAATGTGTGATAAGCACTGTTTTCTATTTGTCTTTTTTTTTTTAATCTACTGACAAATAAGTGGTGTAATAGTTAATTTTCTAACTGTTGGTAAAGCTCTGGTATTTTCCTAGTGAGTTATTTTATAAATAGATTGTCTATCAATTAAAGGAGCTAGGTACTATAAGAATTTCCTTATCAGTACAGTGACTTGAGTCTACTGGCGCCGTAACACTTTTCAAACAGTATAACTCTTGTTTTGATCTCCTGTAGCCCGCAGCTTCACCCAACAGAAGCAGCAATGGGCGACCGTGATTGTCTGAGTCCATCAGCTGACCCTCCTAGCCACCCTTTGTTGCTATGAATTGATATGGTTAAAGAGAAGAGTAAACTCCACTTTAGAATTACATGCAGTGGGGGCAGGGTTGCATGATCACCAGTGATCGAGCTCCAAATGATTACCTGTGTATCATAGTGCCATTAAGTACCCTAAGATCTGCAAACATTTTGAAAAACATATGAAGCACAGAGGATATCATATCTGAGCCATTTGCTCTGTTTGTGTAATCCATTTTATTGAATATAGATTGTAATATTTCATTTGGGAGATGGTGCTTGATGCTTACTGGTATCATTACCACTGAAATATCATGTAGTGGTTTTGGTGCTAAGATTGCCCCTTAATATTTTTTAGGTTTTTAAAACATAATATTCCTGTTTGCACATGGCTCATTTATGAACGTATAGATATAAAACATGGTTTCTTAAAGTTTGTTAAACTTTCACAAAACTGTGTTACATGCAGATTCCAAACGATTTGGTTTTTTTTTTCTCCCTATTTTCTTTTGAGTTACTTAATATGCTGGTATTGAGGGGGAGATGACAAGAAGTTAAGAGTAGATAGACATTCCACAATGGATTATGTTTACATTCTGGTTACATTTTGATACATTCCTGTCCTAACCAAGGTTTCTGGATATTCTACATAGTTATTAACTATACAATGCCAGTTGCTTATTGTTGAATCAGTCTTTAGCTGTATTTCTGTGACATGTTTAATGCCTCCCACTCTCTCTTTTGGCAGGGAAATCGGAAATACCAACAAGGCCATTTTACCTTGGCTTTTTGTTCAGAAACAGAAGTACAATAAATTATGCTGCCCCTTTGAGGGGGTGAATCCATCCCCCACACAGGTACCAATGGAAAAAGCATATTTTATAACCTATGTAGTTTGTTCATTTATGATTTATTGATTTGTATTATGTCTTTTTGATTCATCAAATTAGATTGTATAAGGACAAAAAAAACACATATGTAGCAAAAACATAGACAACAAGATGTTTTGTTGTTGTTGAGTGTTTTTTTAAATGTATTTAATACATAGACGTTTAGGGGGAAAAAACCTGCTGTTTATACAGTGTAAATCTAAACACAACATAAGACGGTGTGAAGTACAGTCTACCTCATAAGGTGAGTGACAAGAACTTTTTTCTCTTAATAGACGGAGTATCGTAACAAATGTGAATTCCTGATTGGGATTGGTGCAAATCAAGAAGATAAGACAGTTGGCTGCAGACTGGGAAAATATAAGGGGGGTTCATGTGCTGTTGTGGAACCATTTGATACAATTCACATCCCTGCTGTCACCAAGAGGGTTGTGAAGGCTTTCCAGGAATATATCCGGTATGTTGCTACATCCAGTATGACTGTTCTATCCTTCCAGTGGATTTGCATTTGTCATATACATATTAGCCATGGCTACCCTGAGCTGGTGGCCAGACCTGCAATGAAGGCACCCTGGCCTGTTTGCAGTTGCTTTCACTGTTATTGGTTATGACACTGGATAGGTCTTCCATTCAGCTATATTATTTTTGGTGTTTTTTTTTTATTTTTTTGAGATTGTGTTTGATTTTTGCTCACAGCACAACCCCATATGCGGTTTACAGTCCCGAATCCTATGAAGGTCACTGGAAGCAATTGACTGTCCGTAGCAGCAGGAAGGGGCAAGTCATGGCAATGGTGTATTTCAATCCACAGGTTAGTAGATATTTTCTCAGGGTAGTAGTTCATAAATTTGTACTTGGCGCGTTCTAACACAAATATTTCTTTGCTTTTAGAAACTTAGCAAGGAGGTGCTTGTGGAACTGAAAACATCTCTAGCGACCTATTTCATTAACGGACCAGGAAAAGACAGTGGCATTACCTCTCTTTACTTTGTTGAAGAGGGTCAAAGGTTGGTTGGTTTGATTAAACTGAATCTGTCATCGGTATTACATTATTTGTGTTTTATACTTTTTTTTTTCTTTAAGATATATTTTTTCATGACTAATGCTATTTTAGAAAGAGAGAATGTGAGTGTGTGTTGCCAGATAGTTTGTGGTGAGATCAAACACTCCCATCAATCGGTGCATATAGAAAAATTTATTGTTGTGCATCAAATGCGTATGTCAAGTTGGACTTTGCGAATTCTGCCTCGTACACAGAAATTTTAAGAAATTATGTTTCCACAACTATCCCAGAATTTCCAACTCTACCTGCTTATGAGCACAGACAGGAATTATATTTTAGACTTCACCCTGCAACTCTACTAGTACAGATACAGTTAAACCTCTACTGTTGATGGTGTTTCTTAAATGCTTTGGTTTTTCTATATGGTAGGGTGTGGAACTGCACTCTGTCCCAAAGACCGTGTAGGTTCAATAAAATTGCCTGGTTTGTACCTTGGAGTGCCTGGACCTTTCTTCTATTTTGGTTTTTCTTTGTCATTAATTTTTGTCACCGCAATCTTCTTCCTTTTATTTGCTACATAACTCTATAACTATTAACTAGCAATCTGGGCAATTGCCTTACGTTTACTGAGTGTGGTCTTCAATGACTTATTTCCACCCCCACAATACTGCTATTTGAATGTCTCCTTAAGGTACCATGGTCTTTATTTTTCACTTTTCTACTCTTTACTTTACTATTCACTGAAAACATGGTTTGGATTCTAACTTTATTTGGTTTATACTTTATTGTAAAAATTATTGTTCTTTACTCTCCCATAAACTCTATCGTTTGCTTTTATGAACTGTCTAATACATTTTTTTTAAAGAGTGATTTACTTGAATCTGCTTCTAGTAACTTGTTTCTTAACACGGCATTATTCCCCAATCACGGGTTAGAAAACAATGTCTGAGATTACAATCAGGTGATGTAATTATCCTTATGAACAACTGATATGATCTTAGCATTGTGGATACTGCTAGGGGCTAATTGCAAGAAATGTAATGTACTTGGCTCCATGTTTGGTGGGATTCCTTTTATACTTTGTTGTATTGAAGAAATTGTATATGTTCTTTTTCTTTTGTAAACATCAAATAATATTGTCTTACACAGCAGTGATTTAGCCTTCATAAACTTTACTGTAGCATGAAATCCTGTTGATTTTGTAGGAAGTCACCAAATCTGGAAGATTTACCTGTGGAGCATTTGGGTGGAGACAAATATATTCATGAGGAGCTACTGGGACTTACGTTTCGCATATCACCCCATGCATTTTTCCAGGTATAGTGAAAATCCAGAATTTTGATGAGTATTTTATAGTTCAGAGGTTTTCAGGGAACTTCTGGTTGTACGGTTTCATCTCTCTCCTTTCCCATTTATTATTATTATTATTATGATATTTATAGAGCGCCGTCAAATTCCGCAGCGCTTTACAATGGGTGGACGAACAGACATGTAGTTGTAACCAGACAAGTTGGACACACAGGAACAGAGGGGTTGAGGGCCCTGCTCAATGAGCTTACATGCTAGAGGGAGTGGGGTAAAGTGACACAAAAGGTAAGGATAGTACTGGACTAGTGACAGCTGCAGAAGAGGAATCAGTCAGGAGCTATTAATAGTTTAATGGATACGCTTTTATGAAGAAGTGGGTTTTTAAAGATTTTTTGAAGGAGTGGAGACTGGGTGAGTATATAACGGAGGAGGGAAGCAAAACCATTTGTTTTCTTCATACGCCTACACTTATGCCATTTTTTTAGCGCAAGAAACAGATCATCACTTGTTTTGCTCTGTAAGCCTACACTTATGCCACTTTTCTAGAACAAGAAACCGATCATTAATTTGTTTGTATGTTATACTACAGCTCTATCACTGCACTCAAATTTTATTTACATTAAATCATCTCATTCTGGATATGCTGTGAGCAGCCTTTTGAAGCAAATCTCCACACTTGTAAATGCACAGATTGGTTCATTAACCCACTGAAATTCTTTATGGTATGCTATCTATTTGAAGCTATAATTAGTGAGTAGTTCTGTGTGTTTCACCACAATATATGTTACAGTATATGCCTTATTATGACCGTTTCAGGATTACATTTAAATATAAACACAGGCGTCTTTATACATTTTGATAGTGGTGCTGTTTTTTCATAAGGGGGAGGGGAAGAGGGTTCTTTTAAAATGTGTTAAGCTGATCATAGTTTGAGGATATGGCTTCCTTTATTTAGTGGAATATTTAGTATGTCCTGTTTTATGTGTGACTGACCTATATTTGTTTGATTATATCAAATTCGACCTCAGGTGAATACACTAGCTGCAGAGGTACTGTATTCCAAAATTGCAGACTGGGCTCAGTTGAACCAAAACAGCACTGTGTTGGATGTCTGTTGTGGAACGGGTACTATTGGTATCTCCTTGGCAAAGGTGAGTAAAGTAGGAGTAATGCAGAGGTACCTACCTCCTCATATTCTTTATTTTGCTGATGCCCCAAAATGTTGTCAAATGTGCCATTTGGATGTTTTATTTGACAACTGATGCTATGTCTGTCCACTCTGAAAATTAATTGGAGGAACACTCTTATGTTCTAAATAATATTTATTTTTAATGTTTTATTTTAGCGTTTAGATTTTGTCATTGGAATTTTGGCTGGTTGCAAAATATAATGCTTGCATTTGGTAATACAGTCCGTGAAATTACACATATTGTGTACATTAGATCATATTTTTTATGGCTTTATTCGACTTTACATAGCAAACAAACTGCAAAGGAAGGAATGTGAAACTATGAATACAAAACAATACTGTAGAATGCTATTTAATTGTGGTTGTCAAAACAAATTGCACTTTGCTTGGTGCATCTTCTAAGGTCCCCTTGGCTCTTGCAGATATTTGCTTCCAAATTTATCTTGAGTAAATTATAATCACTAGGAGGTAATATTAACCCCTTAAGGACCAAACTTCTGGAATAAAAGGGAATCTTGACATGTCACACGTCATGTGTCCTTAAGGGGTTAAAGTGCTTGACTCATTCAAGCTAGTAAATAATCTCCCTACATGTAACTGTCATTAATCTTTCTACTAGATGACTATTAGTTGTTATGTCTTTGATTTATTTTCACTGTTAATGTGCTTTAACGGATTACCAATCCCTTACAAACTTTAGCATTCATTTTTTTTTCCCTTAAAAGAAAGTAAAGAAAGTTGTTGGAATTGAGCTTTGCCAAGAAGCAATTGCAGATGCCAAGGCTAATGCACAGATTAATGGTATGTACTTAATGGGATAGCAATCTATGGGTTGTGTGCATGTTTGTTAAAGGGACACTATAGTCACCAGCGTAATATATTTGTTCTGGTGAGTATAGTGAGTCTCTGCGGGCTTTTTGCTGTAAACCCTGTCTTTTCAGGGAAAATGCAGTGTTTCCATTACTACCTAGGAACACCTCTAGTGGACACTCATCAGATGTCTACTAGAGGTGCTTCATAGGTCAGTGCTGCACAGCAATTCTATTCAGTGTCTCTACACTCTGCATGGAGACGCTGAATGCTCCCCATAGAGGTGTATTGATTTAAATTGCCCCCACCCACCCCCGTCAGAATATACAATCTCAGCCAATAAAATGCTTTCCATTCTGATGTCAGCCAAAAAAGGTGAATCGTGGACGGGGCCACCGCTGCTGGAAATAAGGTATGTTTTCTTTTTATTTAAGGGTGGCCGGGGACTCTACATGTGTTTTTAACACTACAGGGTCAGGTATACATGTATGTGTTCCTGACCATTTAGTGTTACTTAAAACAACTGTTTTGAAAAGAGAGAGTTATAAGTCTACTTGCCCATATGCGTTCTGATTAAATGTTTTTATAGTCTTTTTTTTCTTTCTTTGTAATGGTTTAGTTTACACCAATAGTAATCTTGACTGTTTGTGTAACTGTATTATCTGTAAAAAATAAGTAAGGTGTAGATGTATTTATTATTTAACATTTTCTATTTGAATTAGAAACTTTTAAAAAAAACCTGCGTTTGTTCTGTGGCATAATAGACTTGTCTCTGGTTCTTGAAGGCATTTATGGCACCTTGGGTTTTGCATCTAATCCTGTTGGTATAATATAATGCATGAATTTCATTAGCCATAAAGGGGATTCTCCTAAATTTTCCAAGATTTTCCTGATAGAGTAAGCATGTTGGATTGTTCTGGGGGTGACAGAGTGTAACACTTGTGAGCTGCTAGCAAGGGGAATTGTTTTCTTTGCACATGAAATGTTTATCATACAACAGATTCATGTTCAATAACCAATCACAAGAATAAACCTTCTTATGTTTGCAGATCTTGGGAACATTGACTTTCAGTGTGGCAAGGCAGAAGACATTTTTCCTGCTTTGATTAACTCCTTCACCTCTCAGAACCCTGTTGCTATTGTTGACCCACCTCGAGCAGGCCTGCGTAAGTACCAGACTTCACAATTCTTAACAAAACTGCACTAGAGTCCTAATACATAGCGGTTATTACTTGCCCTGTCATAACATAATGTTATTTGTAATTTTCTCTTCCACTTAAGCTTGTGAACATGTTGAATGCAACAGTGTAGCAATATTACTCCTTTCACTTGGCTGCTTATCTCCTTTTTAATCTTGATTTCATTCAAAATGTTTTTGCAATTAAAATATCCATGTTTCTATCTTAAGACTAAAACTGTTAAAATGATGAATTATATGTAGAAGTGATTCATAGCATTAAACAATGTCTGAGACTGCCAACTCCTTCATCTTTACATCATCAGCAGTAGTTTCTTTTTAGTTCTTCATTGCCACCTTCTCCTACTCACTGATTCTTTGGCAACAACATATATTACACAACAACATTTTTAATCATTTTCCTATTCTATGGCTGTTTTGCAGAGATCTTTTTCATACAGATGTTTATCTAGGAACGATAACATTTATTCTCTTTTTGTCCTAAAAACTACAGATTCCAAGGTGATCATAGCAATCAGAAAAGCTGAACACCTGAAACAGCTGATATATGTGTCGTGCAACCCCAAGGGTGCAATGTCTAACTTTGTTGAGTAAGTGTTTTTAGTTTGAGACAATCAGTTTGCCTGCTTAATAACCAATATTAATAATAAAGCACAGGATAGCTGTGTACTTTTTTCAGTTTTCATGTGTTAAAATGCTCAAGTCTAATTCAAATAAGTGATCAAAGTGTGCTTCTAGGATTTTGAGCAAGCTTTTAAAGGGTCACTCTTTCATTCTGGTTGCTATGGTGTTATGATTCTTTGGTTGTCCTCACTACATTTTCTGGAACAGAAAAAAAAAAGATTCACTTCCACATTAGTCAAAGGCGTGAAAGACTGATGACAATGACAGGCTGAGAGGAGTTTACTTACCCACACCAGGTGCTCTCAAACTATAACTGCCCTCCATTGATAGGAGGCTTTGTACATGCATACACACAATGCTGAATTGAGTTTACCACATCGTTTGTACACCTGCAGAAGGTGCCAAGGTGAGAACTCTTTTTTTTTTTCTTTTTTTTTGTCAAATCAGTTTAAAATTATTTGACGGAAAATGGGTGATGGCATCGAGATGCTAATAGCAGTGTTAATATAATAAGCTATTATGATTATGGCGAGTGCCCCCACGTCTTTAATTAGATTGGTAAAGAAGAATTTGAGAATTGTAGGTAGTGTATTTAAAATTGAAGTGCAATGTTGCTGCAATGCTGCAAGGTCATCACGTGGAAGACAAGTGTTGTAGAGCAGAATATCCTAAGAGATCTTTACCAAGGGCCAAAGAAGAGCCGTTTCTCAGATTAGATCTGTGCTAAAGTAATACTGAATTATGGCAATCAGGCTGTGTCCATGATCAATCCTCTTTTTTTAATTTATTTATTTTTTAATTTGCTTACATAAGAGAATATTAACCAATTTTTCCTGTCCTATTATAATTTAATACAAACTTTTCATCTAAAACATATCCAAACTTTACATGTTTTAACTTTATAATTCAAATCCTATTCCACCTTCCTCTTTTCTAGCTTATGTCGTGCACCTTCAAACAGAGTCAAAGGACGTCCTTTCAGGCCAGTTCGAGCATTAGCTGTGGACCTGTTTCCTCAAACCCCTCATTGTGAGCTCCTAATTCTGTTTGAGAGGGTGGAGTATACAGAAAACTCAAGTGAACCTGCTGGCACTCCAGGTGCCCCTAATATCCAAGACACAGACACATCTGAGGTTCAGCCAGACAGCACTGAAAATGTTCAGTGATTGTGAGCCATGCAGCTTCGTTTAGCCAATTACAGAAGGGTTTCTGCAGCTAAAAGTGCATATTGGATTTATTTGTTTTATAACATGGGACCACTAACACCCATTTTATTACTTCATTTGACAGTGTTAATATCCATGTAACCGCTTTCATAAAGTCTTTTTATCCTCTATAGCAAGCGATCCCTACAAAAAGGGATTGTGTTAAATCAAATACAGGAAAATACACTGCAGCATCATCAAACTGGAAATTATTTTCAAATCTCATTTTCAGCATATTTGTGAATAGCGCTTTGTTTATGTACAGATTTCACTTATTGGCGGAAACAACATTAATAAAATTTTTCCTTTCATCATGAACATGTACCTTTTTTTTATTATTATTTATTTATTTAAGCTGAATACTAGAAGGCTTACATGGAGTTTACAGTGTGTACTCTACCAAACCCCAATGTATGGTCTTAAATAACATTGGCTTTTATTTTCCCTGTATGGCTGTAAAAAGTGTTAGCTCACTGTCACGCTCAGAGCTCTGACATCATCCGATTTGGGGGGGAGGGGGGGATAATGCACACGTGCGGTGAGTGCGTTAGACTCTCCCCAGAGGAAAGAATTGCTGCAATGGATTTAACTGATGCTCGATGTCCTCATGCAGGAAGCGCCTCTAGTGGCTGTCTGATTGACAACAACTAGTTCAAAAACTGCAGCAATTTACATTGCAGGACTAAGAGGGACAGAGACATTGCACCCAGACGACTTCAATGGTCTCCCAATCAACATAAAAGCAGATAAAACAAAGCTATCATAGCTGTTAGACTGGAGGTCACCTGAGAACTTTTCCTTGATGTTGGCAGTTAAGCTAACACTTTAATGGCCATACATGCGTACTAAAACGGTCCAAATATCTATGGGTATAAGGTGCAGGTTTTTGATTTGTCTAGTTTAATTGTATACTGTATTCTAAATTTCCAGTTTTATATGTGGCTCAAAATGTGTTCTTTTGGATGATTTTCAATCTTGGCAGAAACATTATTCAGTTCTTAGTTGGTGGGGTGCCAATAACCTGCAATCTCTTGGCTGAAAACCTTATTGCTGGAGTTCTTTGCCAAATATGAAGTGATATATGGGAATGACTTGGATCCCTTCTCCTGCAACATTACACTTTTTTTTTTTTTTTTTACAGCGCAGTCTATTTGTATTATAGAAATATGTTATCGGCCAGCAGTTTTGAAAATGCGTCTCCTTTCGGTGTTATGCAAGTAGTTAAGTATGATTTAAAGAGAAACTTTCAATTCAGGAATTTAAACGACTGAATAAAACATTGGAAATATCCACTTATACATAAGATACTCCATTGTATTCTAAATGTATGTTAAAGATTTAGCAAATTACATCATTATCCAGTTCAGATAAGACAAAACCATTGCAAATGAACAGGAGAAAAGAAAAATATTGTTTCATTTCTCCTCTTCTCTGTATGCTTTCTCTATGCTGACTGCAAGATGCAAAGTATTGCGCTTATAATAATTGACTGATAACTAAGTTGGAGGCGCCGAGTTACAGGATAAAGTTACATAGGCTGAAAAGTGATGTCCATCAAGTTCAGCCTCTCTCACATTGTTTTTTTTTTTTGTTGATTCAAAAGAAGCCCCCAAAAAAAGTTTGAATTGCTTTCCAATTTTGCAACAAATTCAGAAAGTTTTTTTTCTCTGCCCCAGAATGACAGTCATTGAATTCAAAAGCGGTTACCAGGGCCTAGCTGCCGAGCAGACTGGTCCCACTAAGCACTGTACAAGGACTGACTATTAAGCTACCTTACTGAGGTGTATCACAACTAAATTACAATTTTAGTGCAGGAGAGTGTTGGTATTACCCCGAGTTTCAATCTGTGGGGTTTTTGTGTCTGCGATGCAACCTGAACCCGATGACGAATTGCAGCCTACCAGAATTTGCTGGCATGGGAGAGGTGGCCGATCTCCCTTCTGACTGTCCAGCTGGAAAACATTGAAGCGATTAGAATGTCTGGAGTTGGTGAATAAAATTTCTGGACTTGTGCTTTCCTCTGGTTCACCATTAAATCGATCTGATGTATGCCCCACTTTTCCGAGATCAAGCTGGACACCTCAGAATGCAGACTCCATTCTCCTTGCTAAATGCTTCTTCTGGTACAGAGCATTTAAATCTAGTAGGTGTTTCTGGGCAAATTAAATTAGGAGATTCATTGTGGAAGATGTTTGCTCCTCGTACTCCCCTGGTGATTGACATAGGGAGCAACAGCCCTGTTGGCTGTGCTTATTAGTACCACTTTTTGGTGTAATGAAGGAACTTTCAGAGCCTTGGAGGTGGCTTAGTTCTCAGGGAATTTGAAACTCCGTTCAAACCTCAGAGTCCAGGTAGAATTGAAATGGGCTCTCCAACTTTGGAGTATCCTGGTATCCATTGTAATTACTTGCCAATTTGGGTCTTCTAGTGGAAAACCTTTAAGGAGATTCTGGAGAGATATCAACCATTTAAGATGGGCTTTGATATGATGGGTAATCCTTATTAGTTGGTTCCAATTGTTCTAGTGTTTCTTGAACTGGCTAAAGGAAATTAATTTTGATAGGCCTCATTCCACTGAGCCCATCTCACCAGACCTATCATGGAAGTGAGAAATCCCATAATTTCTTGCTGTCACTAATTTTGTTTCTCATGATGGTGTCTCTGTTGCTTCTCCTAGATATATGATCTTGTGAGATAAAACGAAAAGTTATTTGACCCTGTTTATTGCCCATCCATGATGATGTAGACATTGAAGCGCAATCTCTGTATGCTGAATCGCCAGTTTAAGGGATGATGCCACTATGAAAATGTTGTCCAAATTATGATTCATTTTTTAATCTTTGCTCTCTTAGGAAGGCAATCACTCTGACCGGCACCTTCAAAAATGACCTAGGGAACAAGCTTAGACTGAAGGGGAGACCTTTGAATTGAAAATGTTTCCCACAATGTAGAACCTCAGGAATTTGAAATCTTGGGGATAGATTGGAATCTGATAATGCGCATACCTGAGCTCTGTCAAGGTGATCCAATCTTAATGTTTTATTGATGGAAGATATTTATTAAATTTTGAATGATAAATTTTTAAATTCTAGATTTGAGGGGCGGAGCCTGACCAGCATGGAAAGCAGACATGCTTCTGCAGAGCTCCTCAGACAATAGGGCAATCTATGTCAAGTTTGGCCCTACCTAACTCGAAAATAGCAGCCCAAATTGACTTACCTGACCCACGAAGGGGCACAACACTGACATGGAGGTCTGCGACCAACGTGAGGCCGGCTGGCCGACAGATGTGCGCCATGAGTCCTGGTGCTCGTAGAGCGGGAGAGACGGCCAATCTCCCGTTCCGGCACCACGAGACGCCAACAGTGCAAGCAGGAGCCCCGCTACCCCGACCGTCGGGGATCGCGGTCCACCTCTGAGAGACAAACCCGGAACAGGGAGAGCACAGGGCGAAGCCACCTCGACTTACATACTGCTCAGCATGACACCCAACATGGTGGCTGCCACGTGCCTCCCTGGCCACAAGGATTCAGACCAAAGCATCACACAGAAGCTGGACGCAATACTAGCCAAATTCTGGAGCAAGTTAGAGGGCAGAACAAAGCTATCTACCTAGCAACAGCCACACAGCCAAGCAACAGAGAGGCTGCCTCCAACTCAGAGGAAGGCTCTGCAGGCCTCACCGGCTGGATCGACCACTCCACGACGGCGGATCAAGCTGCAAGAGAGGCAGAAACACCGCAGGAGACACCAACGAGGACACACAGTACAAAGAAGATGCAGGACCCGAAGTGCTTACCTGCCCCGCATGGCGAACAGCAGCCAAAAGCATCCCACTCCGTTCCAGATCACAGCTGCGGACGACCGGAAAAACGGCAACGGGGGGAAAATGGCGGCCCCACACAGAGAGAGTGACCAGTGATGGCCCAACCATGACCCACACACCGGGCTCCGACACCAAGCCTCCAGAACAGGAGTGGGGTGATTGATAGGGACTAATCGTGCATAGGGACCAACAGTGCACCACTGTATACGGTAGCAGGCTCAACCCGACAGACCCGTAATTGACTCTCCGCTAAGTTACCTGAAGTTAACCCCTCTTACATGTGTTCCAACACTATCTTGTTAGCCCACTGCCTGTGCTTATAATCCCCCTGAGCTTCCAAACCTTATCGAACCCTCATAACAGAGTGCCATAGAAGTGGGAATATTCATTAAATCAGAATACCAACCAATCTTAAAGTACCCACATAGCAAAGCCAAGCAGGCCCTCATGTGTTGATTCCTATACAATTAACGTATACATCCAACACCAACAAGCCCTGCTAATATTAACATTTAGTTGAACTCACAGGCTCTTAGTTAATCGGGTCTAACCTGAAAATACTTTAAACCTAATAGCTAGGAGCCTTTCCTCATCTAACAAACTACCCTATCTTGCAACTATAAAAGTGTGCTTCATAGTAATTTCATATATCTCATATCTAGACTGTATTGCTAATCTCATCACCGAACATCACTTGAATAACATAGATATGTGCCTAGCTTTATACCAAACCAATTCGAGCATGTACTTAGCTTGTATTAGCAACTTGTAAAAAATTGTGCGTTTTCTCAGAATGCTATACAACTATTAACAAATAAGTGTTATCAAATTGTTGGCGAATGCTGTTGTGGCATTGTTGACATGCAAATGTTATTTCATGCACAGCAAAAATAAAGAATTACAAAAAATTCTAGATTTATGTATTTTTTTTATTTTAAATTATTTTTGTTGTGCTTCAGAGTACAGGAGCAACAACAGCAATACAGGTGTAGAGACTGACATTGAATTACACATATATTGAAGACAAATACAGGGCTACGGTATGTGGCATTTGCTATCTTCGCACGTTTTTTATAATGTAAATAAAGATTCAAGATAATAAACATGTTTAGACCCCAGGGCAACACAGCTTATGTATTCAAGAGTGTATTATTAGACATGGAAGTGTAATGCAAGAATAGTTTGATTAGGCTCAAGCTGCGAGTAACTTACAAGCTATTGCAGGCTAGTCTGGCATGGTACAGATACTGGTTCTGAAATTATGCAAAACATACTGACAATGACAAATTAGACATGCTTGAGGATTGACATGTTTATGACATGTCAAGGTATTTATATCGGCAGACATCTTGTGCTATGATAGAAATTAAAAGTGTATATGCTGAGTCACTCTGAACAGACCAGACTCCATTTTGTTATTTTCAAGTTAACAAAGAGACACGAAATTTCTATCCTATCTGTAAAACTAACCACTTTCCCAGAGCTAAAGGAATGCATAGTATATACAAACCAAGTGATAAGGAGAACGGGGGTTGGACAGACTGTCTAAATGCTAATGGAATATAATCAATTCTAAACCCAGACATTTGTGACAGAGAAGATTAAATAATTTAATTTTACTTTCTTAATTTTATAAGGTACCATTGTACGGAAAAGGTGAAACATAGTTCATGAACTGCCATTTTAGAAATTATAGCAGGAATTGCGGACACTAAGTCTGGACAAAACTAAGAGAAAACCCTTTGAAGTGAAAGGAAACTTAAGTTATGGCCACTATAAAGATAAGCCAAAATGACGTCAAAATAGCCACCAGGAAAAGTTAACTCTTTCCTGGATAGGTATGTTTAGTGGGACAAGACTGCCCTCTATAGACCAAATACCTAAATTGCGATCCCTAGGTAAGCACACCTCTAGTGCTTCTATTAGGTTATCAACTGATGACGTACAGAGAGTCTGTCCCTTTAAAAGTTAGGACAAAGGGAAGACAGGGGGTGGAGAAGAGGAGAGAGAGGAATTGGAAGTTTGGGGACTCCAACTCAGACATGCAGAGAAACCCAGGACAACATCTGAGACTAACATTCAACTCACAAACTCTTTGACCCTTTCTAACCAACACTACTTTACACTCAGAAATTCCTACACACCTCCATGCAGAGAGACATCCAAACAAGTTCCTAAGACTACCAATCGGATGAAATATCTACTCAACTGGTAATTATACTGGTTTCATTTAAATAATGAAATTAATTAAAATTTACTAATAGCGTGATATATGACTGGATAAATCACGGTCAGATTTCCATATTAAGAAATCTTAGTTAACTAAAGAATATATAGTTATAAACATTCCATTCTGCTGGTGGAATTAAGAATAATTATATATTAATGTGATAGTATCACATGTTAGCATACCGCTGTTTTTATCCAGGTGTATTGATTTGCTCTAAAATAAGATAAGATATCTTTTTAGGCGAATTAAATTCTGCTTTTGTAAAAATATGGTAGATTCTCTTATTGGATGGTTCCAGGAAATGACTAATGAACTGGTTTAAATGTTATTTTATTTAAAATTGCATAAGAATAGATCTTAATTACCTAGGAGGATCTAGCCAGCATTGAAAGGGTTATTCAGTTGATCTAACTGTTAGCCAGGGTTTTATGGCCCTTCGCTGTGAAAAGCTTCGCTTTCTCTCTGTGAAAGATAGTCATAAATCGTGTAAGTTTTGACAGAAAATGCTGTTTAGCCATTGAAATGTGTATAGCCATTCCTTTGTATTGCATACCATTTTATACTGGATATTCATTGATTATTGTCACGCATGTTACATATCATTATTAATTAATTTATTATAAAATCAAATCTATTTTTATAACAAAATTGTGATTTTATTTATATGAAATACTTTTCACTTAACACGATAACGACCTTTGGGATCTGAGAATTGAATTAGTGGGCAATTCTCACTGTTTACTATTATTATCCCATAAATATCCCCACAGACAGTAGAAAATGGCATGGAAGTGACAGTGCAGATTTGAGGGCAATCATCCTGCCAATACCAAATAAACAGAGAGGCAACATATATGCTGGCCAGACTAACTAGCAATTAGTGAGGATGAAAAATAATAGTAAGAACATTTTTTTTAATAAAGAAACAGGAAAAACATAATAATAGAGATAATATTAAGCAGTTGTTACAAAAAAAAAAAGGAAAACAGGGGGCGGAGCCTGACCGCCGCGCTAGACGGTCGCATCTACCCGGAGCTCTGGACTTTAAACCATTAAATCGGGAAATAACGGAGCTGACCTGGTTTGCTACTTACCACTTGCCTGAGGGCACCCGCGGGAGCATAGAGCAAGCAACCGGGATCACTGAAGCCTCGGGTGGGGTGGCTGGGAGGCGTAGCGGCGTGGATGCGGGGTAGCGGACGTTCTCTCGACCTCACGTCCACACAACCCTGAGCCTGCAACTGACACCTACCACCTGTTCTCCCCCCACTGCCGGTGAGGGATATCCCGGCACAAGCAGGGCACTCACCTCAAAGGCGACAAAGGTGCATTAGACAGAACAACCACCCTAGACACTGGCACAAAATGGCGGATGCCAAACTCACTTGCGACGAATCCCCGACATCCCATGTGCTGGACCCAGATCGCATAGACCGTATCTTTGCGGATTTCTGGACTAAACTCTACAAACTAATGTATCCCCCCCGCCCAAGGTGCAAACCACTCCAGCGCCCTTGCTGGCGGGTGAAGCCCGACTTAAAAAAGGAGCCGATTGGAGGAAGATGGCCCCCCGCGAGCGGTGGCGCAGCAAGCCCCGGAGACAGGGGTTGGGAACCCCCTTGCCGGATCGCCCCCAACATCGACAGGGGAAAGCACAGAGCTGGAGCAGCCCCCAAGCTGGCCGTTACCTGGCGAAGTACATCCCCACAAACGGAGTAAGCACACACCGGCGCCGGAGACCCCAAGGGGGACACACCTGACCATCCACCAAAAGACTGCAGACCGGCTACCGCCGCACTCACACTCGGAGAGCCTCAGGGAGAAGAGCTCAGGTACCTGGCATACATCATCAAGGGGTCCACTACACCATTCCTTACCAGGACTTTGCATGCGGCAACGAGGAAAACAGTAGCAACGCGCGATCCGCCTCAGCTCAGATGGAGACCTGGACCCAATGGAGGGGGCATCAGCAAAAAGCTAGACTTTGGTCTTACAGTGGGACTATCGTGGTGAGAGCGGGAGTGGGTTGATCCACACATACAGGACTCTGAATATGGCATTAAGCCAGTCCCTTCTATGTATATACAAATTACCCAGCGTACTATTATTACATCTCTAGCACCAAAGTGCACATATGTCTCCACAGTCTCATAGAAATGTCGCCCAGGCTAACCATAAATAGCTTGACTTTATTCTGTTGCACAGCCTATATGCTTCTATCAATGTATTAACTAGCCTTTACACACCTGGCGAGTCCACAGAGTTAGACACATACTCATTTACTACAGTCAGACAAGAGTATTATGTTCCTTGATTGTTCATAAGCCTGTTTTACATTTTACATGCCCAGTGTGCACCAGCTGACTTGCATGCTTACCTTACCTTTACTGTTATATTTATGAACGTTAACCTCATAATTTGCCTAGCCTGAACTAACACATGAAAAGTTATGTTTAAGTTTGAATCCACGTTCTCTTCACATGACTTTGCCTCATGTTGGCTAATGTATGCATAACCTGCTATTTACCTTGTTTCTGATATACCATTAAATAGGGCAATGTTTTGCTTTGCATCGTAGTGAGCATTGGGTAATCTTGCTCTCACATAATCAGTTACATCGGAAAGGTAACATTCGCTCCATAGCATCTTAATCCACCTTATTAAAAACATGATTCTATTAAGCGACTCACAAAACTGAATCAACTACACTAGTGAACTGGTATAGTTACCATTACACTAGACAAAGCATCTTAATTTTATTCCATGAGCAGAAAGTTAAGCGACGTTATTTTATTTTATGTTATGTTATGAATATGCTATATTAATGACCATCGATACCGTATACCGCATAACTCAACCTTATAAAAATGTGCAAGATCAACCCTGTGCCTCTATGTTTAAATGTTTTATAATGCACTGGAGGATTGCCTCTGGGGTACCTCACAAGCGATTGTACTAAGCTTATGCACTACAAAAATAAAGAATTAAAAAAAAAAAATGGAAACCACTGGGGCCCCACATGCTATGTACTTCCCTGACTGTGTGTTTTAAAGCTATCTTTTTTTTTTTTTTGTAATAGGACATATAAAAATGACAAATGCTATATACCATATTAATATTAGTTACAAAAATAATTATTCGTAGGTCTTCATATCTTCCTTTATCCGTCCAATGAAGCTGCTATCTTAGGCCTGCATACAAACTCGCAATTCCCAATTCGAGCTCATCTAATAAATAGTCCCAGCATTACAGCAGGGCCTGATTTATTCACTCTGCCAGCCCCAGGCTGCATCACGAGCCCGCATTTTGTTCACCCTCGGATCCGGTTCTCTTCCGAGCCGGTAACGGAATTCCCAGAGAAGATTGTTCCCCTGAGTGTTGGGCGGCGATGTGAGGGTTCCTCCTCTCGAGACTCGAAGCCCAGGTAAGCATTGCGGTAATCGGTCCCGCCATTCAGGTATGGGGATGGAAGCAGCCAACCGCTCTCCTCTGGTAGTCGGGGTGTCACAGGCCTGATGGAGGTGTGCCTCTGTAGATTGTACCGGTCTCTGAAACAATTCTGATAGGTTTAGTGGAGCTCCCATAGGTTGTAGGCGAGCTGTGTGATCAGTCTCAGCGTGTTGTGGTAGGCAGCCATTTTTTGTAGTTTAGCACGAGAATCTGAATGTCCAAAGGGGGTGGAAACAAGGCCATTAGGAGTGTTGATGTGTGAAAGTTGGAGGTGAAAGCAGGGCAGCAGCCATCTGCCCGGCTCCTCTCTTGACTAGGCCGCAGATTCTGAATCTTCGTGTTGCCCCCAGGAGCTCTAAAACTCATGATCTCAGATTCTGTGTGATCATCATCAGCCACCTGTGGGATTTGTTTCATAAGAGGCCTAGAAGCCATTGAGTGCAACTTAAACAGGCGGTCCCTACAGGTGCCTCTCCTGCCTGTGACTAGTTAGCATGGCGGTCCAGCCCCGCCCCCCAGATTTAGTTATTAAAACGTTGCCTGAGAGGGGATATGATATTATACAAATATATTCGGGGCCAATACAAACCATTGTGTGGAAATCGATTCACAAACCGGACTTTAGATAGGACACGAGGTCACGCGTTCAGACTGGAAGAAAGAAGATTTCGTCTAAGGCAAAGGAAAACATTTTTTACTGTAAGAACAATAGAATTCTCTGCCTGAAGAAGTGGTTTTATCAGAATCCATACAGATGTTCAAACAGGAACTAGATGCATACTTGCAAAAACAGAATATTCAAGGATATAACATTTCAATGTAGGGTAATAGCTGCTTGATCCAAGGATAAATCTGACTGCCATTCTGGGGTCAATAAATCATTTTTTCCCCTAGTTTATTGCAAAATTGGAAGTGCTTCAAACTGGGTTTTTTGCCTTCTTTTGTATCAACAGCAAAATATAAATGTGAGGAAGGCTGAACTTGATGGACGCAAGTCTCTTTTCAGTTATGTAAGTTAGTCCTATTATGAACAGGCTCTTTACGGCATTCTTCAGACAAAGAGAGACAAAAACTATTCATGTATATCAATTAGACGTGAAAAACCCAATGAAATAATGGAGTTTACAAATTAGGCTAGGTGAGCCACTAGAAAATGAGAATTGTTAGGAACTCAAAGTGAATTTCAATTTTGAATCCAAAAGTAACAGAAATGGGGAAAATGTACCTCTATTTCCAGTTCAGCGACTGACATTAAATTTCAAATTCACTTAAACTTTTCGTTTGTTTGAGCAGTTTGTCCAAGATCTACTACTGTTTAAACTATTATAGAATTTATACACACACACAAAAAAGAAAAACACGCAGCAAGGTACCATAACTTAATCAACATGAAGTTCTGATGGAGCCAGGAGTTCCCTAGGGCTTCCTTACCATTAGGGGTTAAATCATCAAACAGTTTAACACCAACATCCATGCTCCAGCGTCAAATTCCTCTGCCCAATTCTGTCCATCCACTTTTTGGAAACTCTGGAAGGCTCAGACAGGGGTGCTACTGACTAGCTTAGAGCAGTCATCTGACCACTAAGCAAATCAGTGAAAAACCCTGCCCATGCATTCCATTATGAAGAATTTCACATAGAGGTAAGATGGTGGCAGAGTGATCCAGTGCTGAGACACAGACTTTGTGGTTAAACAGATTCTGAACAGTTTAACCCCCAATGGTATGGAAGAGCCAGGGACCTCATGGAACCATAACTTAATTTTAACCCCTTAAGGACACATGACGGAAATATTCCGTCATGATTCCCTTTTATTCCAGAAGTTGTGTCCTTAAGGGGGTTAATGAAGTTATGATGCAGTGTTACTTTAAGAAGTCGATTGGCACACTTCTCTTGGGAAGACAAGGCTGCTCAGTGTTCAAGTTTGATCAAAGCACTAGTGAAGCCTGTAATGTTTCTGCGTGTTGGTTTTAGGTGAAATGATCAATCAGCCATATTATCAAATTTCAAGATATTCACAAAGAGGGAAAGCCTCTATATCCCTTAACTAGGGTTGTTTTGTATGCAATCATTCTAGATCAGGGTTCCCAACCCAGTCCTCAAGTACCCCTCTAACTGTCCAGGATTTAGGGATTACCCAGTTGTGTCTAAAGTGCATTTTCTTCTTCTAGGTTGGGAACAACTGTTCTAGATGATTGGCAAAAAAAGAATTCTGTACTTAATGGCAGTTACCAGAAACATGAAGATTGACTGCTACACCAATTATTTATTTGAGAAGTATTCTCGCTTCATCCCACAGATACGAACATGGTTTAATCCGTGTGCCACTTCAGAACTTCAGTTAGTTCCATCACCTGGTATGCCGGGTTACTTTGAATCAGGAGCAATCGCCTTTGAGTGGCTTTAATTCCTATGTACATTTTTTTAAAGTACAAGTAGTAGCCATGATTTTTTTTATTATTAATATGGATCAAACATATCCTTTGGTTAGCTTGTCATTTACTTGGGAACTCAGGATGTTGTTTCCCATTATAAGACTAAAAGAGAGGAAACCTGGGGGTAGAGATGTTTGAAAATTATTTTTATATTTTATTAAATGCTACCTGTTCTGTGAGAGAAAAAGGCAACTGACCATGTGCAATGATCGCCAATTTTACCATCAAAAACAACACTATTACAATTTTTCTTTTTAAGAAGCAAAAGTCTGAATGTGCCAATTTGAATAAGTAGATAACTGGAAAGTTGAGCCTAGTTCACTCATTGTAGTGGGTAGAATGCATAGTTTAAAACCATATGGGATGGGAGAGGGGAGGGAGTCAGGAACTGATAAGGATCGCACCTAAATTCAAAGAATTTTAAAAGTAGTTATGATTGGAATAGAAATAAGACAAGAGTTTTGCTGTAATATCAAACTTTATTGCTGAAAACTAACAACTCAAAATGTTTAACATACAATATTTAAGACCATATGAACCAGGTTTACACATGGTAAAAATAGTAAAGTAAAATTAACTGGCTACACATTTGACTAATCAAGTCACAGTTATCAGACAACCAATCACTCAACATAATCCATACTGCAACTATTAAATTTATTGATATAATAGGATAATAAAAGGACTTAACTCACTCACACAAACACACAAACACTTATACTGGTCACAAGAACATCCCTAGCAAATATATATATTTATTCACCATGTTATTAAGCAGTGCCTATATAGTCAATATCATGGAATAATGCCCATAGCACAAATGCCATCCACAATTCTAGCAAACATTTGTTGTAAATACCCAGCCTGTACAACATGAAATGTTTTATAGCGATACTAAAAGGGAGACATAAATGCATGAGTTGTAGAATATTAAAAGCCAGTCACTTTCCAAATGTGTGTGAGATAGAGAATATATATATATATATACACACATACATTTTTATTATTATTTTTTTCCCCTCTCCCAGGAGGAAGCAATTCACAAGCAAGTGGTTTCATCTCATAAGAGCAGGCATTAGGTTGCTAGAGTAGGACCTTCCAAACATGGGGTAAATTGGTGTTGTGGCAGGCTGATGCAATGTATGATTATTTACTGTAACTAAACCCCCATTATTTTTGCCTAGGCAAGGTGTTTATTAATTTAAAAATAGATATGTGTTACATTTTGTGAGACTTGACTTTGCAGTTAAGTGAATAAGTGAGTGCCCTGGGTCTTGTAGGAGGCAATATATAAAAATATTTAAAGTTGAGTGCTCTTATCACAACTGGGACTACTACTGCCTTAAACTTACACATATAGATAACACAAGTCATAAGTAATTTTCAATGTTTTATTCAATAGTGCTCAATGGTTGCCCAGACAAGTGATAGTTCCCATTTAAATAGGCACTCAGCATAAGGAATTGAGATTCAAAAACAATTCTAAAAAAAACAAGAGCAAAGCTGGTTATCTAAGAAAAAAACACATTAAAAACACTGAGCATAACCAACTGTAACCTAACCTACACTTTGGACCCAAGGTGTAGGTGATGGAGTGCTCATTTAGTTGCATGTTTGTTAGTTAATGGATGTTACTGTGCAAGGGCATTTCAAGGTATTGCTTCTTAATAGGCTGCTCTGTAGACTGTTCTTAATCAAAGGGTTAAATTCAAATAAAGGTTATCAAAAATCTACAAACTTTACTTCATATAGTATCACAGGCAGTACCATAACTTTATGCAGACACAAAAACGCACCATTTTAGCCAAGGCAATCCACACATAAGTTAAGCATTGCATTATTGTAAGGTAATAGCTTTGCATTCGTTTTTAGGTAGTTCTAGCATTAAAGCATTGCCATCCATTTCCAAAGATGTGAAGTGTAGGCAAATGCAGAACTAGAAGTAAAAATATGAAATCCAACTAGTTACAGCACAAACTCAGATTCAGAACACTCAGTCTAGATGATCTATTTTAAAACAAATTGCATATGTCAGAGCAGTTACATGCTCTGTAAAGAGTCGCTCAAAATAAAACCGAAATATGCCTTATGCTATTCACAAAAGCCAAAATAATTGAGAGGTTTTCAAAATACCGTACCATTCAAATACGTTTGAAACAACTCTAATGCATTACTTTGGTTGAAGACCACTACAAGCAAAATAGGCCATTTTAATTAGAATGTAATGCATAGGCCTACAAAATGTTTAGGGCCAATTACAATTCTGTTAGCGAACAGCTCAAACATGAGCCTAGCAAATGTCTCCTTAATGCCCATGTTGAAAGCTGCAGGTGTTTTGCTGCCCATTATCTATATATTAATGGGTGACACTTCTAGACAAGACTGTAGGGCCACTAAATACAATGTTTAGAGATGTTTCATTTTTTTTTTTTTTCTGGACAGGCTGCTGGCTTAGCTCTTTGAGGCTTATTTGCCTAGCTATTCAGCCACTAAAGAATCAGATGTAAAAATACCAGTACAGAGTGCTGGAGCAGAAACAAATGTTTTACTTCTTTTCATATGGTGCTGGTTGCTGTAGTAAATTAGATATGTGCATGTGTGCTGTATGTGATATGGATGAGGTGCTATAGCCATTATGGGTGATGTAGAGAAGAGAAATAGGTTCAGTTGTGCAAGATAAAGCCTAGGTGCTGGCATCCTACACCAAGTGCGTCAAGCACCTAAAGTACCTTTAAATTATCTTCCTATGCATTTGAAAAGCATTTACTGCCTCAAAATGTGTGTGTATATATATATTTATTATTCTCCATCTCAATCACACATTGAGTAATTCAAATATATAGGTTACACTGGATAGACTAAGAGGCTGAGTGGGAAGCAGGGGGTGGGGGGAAAAACTGACTGGAAACCAAAAACACCTTGCAGCAATAAAATGTAGAATAGAGGAGCCCGATAAAACATTTACATACATTTCTGATCTGAATTGGCATGATGAGTGACGTTCAGTCATTATAAGACATTATGGAGTAATTTCTTAAAGGATTACAATAAAGATATTCTTGGTTTGGTGTTAAATGTGCACTCAAATCTGGCCAACTGTCACAACAAAACTACAAAAAGGATTAAACAAAACCAGACATTCTCTCCCCCCCCTCCATCCCCCCCAGGGCTTACAGGGTTATTTACTAAACACGGAATTTAAATAGAATTTACAATCATTTAAGGCCACAGCTGCTTAACAGAAAGCACAGCTAACATAATTCAGCAGACCTCAAGTTCGAAACTCCTTTCCAACTCCCGTTAAATTGTCACTTTGTGAAACAATCCTGTGTTTAACTCCTTTGTCTAGTTACACGTTTACTGCAGGGTTTCAGAGAAAACAAATGGTTGTGTTCTACTGAATAAAAAATGTGCAATAAAATAAGATTGGAATGGCTAGAAAATTCTTTTTTAAAAAAATACACTTGTACCATATAAGCAGTTGAATTGACTTTTAAATTATTGGATAAATTACCGGTAATTTGTAATCAACCTTAAAATGTTTCCCCCCTCCAGGCACAACAGGCAAACTGATGAGCACTAATTTACTAAATTAAAATATGAATACATAAAATAAAAAAAAAATCTGATTCCAGGTTAGTCTCAAAGAAGCTTTATTTAAAAAAAAAAATGTATGGGGCAGGGGTAAAGGACAACAGTGTTCCAGTTCTATCCCCTTCACGTTCAGTTTTGTATGTACATGCTAGGGTGCATTTTGCTTCTTTTTTTTTTACACTGGAATCTCCCAGGTTCAATAATACAGTGGCTGGAGTGAGAACTCTATACAATGCAAAACTTATAAGCACCAAATCCTCATACATATTTACATTCTGGCGGTGACTTTCGGTATTAGCATATATAAAAAAATAAATAAAAAATAAATAAACCAGAGCATGTCTATTTCTGTTGGGGTTTTTTGTTCACAAATAGTGCACGTGTCTGCCGTAGTACTTGTGCTTCTATTTTAATAGCATATAGCCACTTAAAGGTTTCATATAAGGAATACATTGCTCCACACCAAGTTCTG